AATAAAAATAATGGATTTATGTTAGAATATATTGTTATAATAAACAATACTATTCCTTAATTCACACTGTAGGTGTAATCAGTAGGTATTACATCAGTAGTTTTTTTCATATATGTATGCAATTTATGGGCATGTTAAATATCAGCAGTTTATTTGTGTGTTCATATGTCAGCAGTTTATTTGTGTGTTCACATATAAGCAGTTTATTTGTGTGTTTATATATCGGCAGTTTATTTGTGTGTTCATATATCAGCAGTTTATTTGTTTGTTCATATTATGTCAGCAGTTTATTTGTTTGTTCACATGTCAGCAGTTTATTTGTTTGTTCATATGTCAGCAGTTTATTTGTGTGTTCACATGTCAGCAGTTTATTTGTTTGTTCATATGTCAGCAGTTTATTTGTGTGTTCATATATCAGCAGTTTAACTGTTGTTCATACATCAACAGCTAATTTATGTGTTCAAAAATCAGCAGTTTAATATTGAAGATAAATCAGCTTCAAACTGGATCAATTCCTGTTCGAGACATGAATGAGTAGAAAATATTCACAAATTTTCATGACAAAAGAAAACGTTTGAAAACTGAAGAGTTCAGATAATTAAAATATAATAATTCTACTCTGCAAATATTTTCAAGATATTTCATTTCGTTCATGTAATATTTCCATTACTGTTATACAGATTTTATCACAAAAATGAAATCATTTCTTCTATGAGAGGAAACAATTCATATAATAATGAATAAATGAATCAAGAATTGACATTACTGCACTTGTGACATTCCCAAAAGTGCTCCATCTCCTTCTTCAGTAGCCATAGAAGACTTCCCATGCTTATAGATAGTTAATTGCGTATCCTTTACAGAACATTGCAGAACCAACCCCAGCATTTTTTGGCTGTTGTGGTTTTTCTAGGCAAATTTACGCCCAGTAGTTTGCCATTGCTTTCCATATGGTTGGCTTCTCGATACCACTGTCAAAACCAATGCAAGGCCCGCAGCTACTATCGAACACGGCACCCCGGCATTACAAAGCGCGTTCACAATGCCTAAGCCACAGATGCCGTCATGCTTATAGTACCAATTGTAATCTGATTAAATGTTTGCCTTTGTTTTCCTTTCACCCGTGAACATCATCCAGAATCTCTTCTTCCTCCCCGTTCAAGTAACCTTTTTAAGGTTTGGATATTCTGTCTGGTTTTTTTTTTTTTTTGCACTGCTCACTTCATCCCAGTGAGTTTTCACTAAGCTAACTTTATCATGAAGATACAGATAACTTAAATTAGCTTATCATGGATAAGTCAATCAAAAAATGCTAGGAATTAGATGGTTGAGAGCCTATGCTTCCATTGTGAATAGAAATTAAGAAGGTAAAGAAATCCATATTTTACTAGACTAATTCTCTTAGGCTTGAAACGTATTTTGGCAATGCAGAAAATAAAATTACATTCTAGATTTATAACATAAAAGTACTCTTTACAACAGTAAATTGGTAGATATCATAAAAATATAAATAATGTAATTCTCCAGGAAACTGTAAGTAATTAGAAGGTTTGCATATGTTAATTATAAGAATAATATATAAAATATGAACAGGCATTTGAAAGAACAAAACGAGACAATTTTAACATTATATTACTATAATAAAAAAAAATGAAAGATTGTATGAAATATTTTGGCATGTATCTTGATACATTTACCGGAGGGATGTCAGGTTTCGTATATGCCACTCAACATTTGAGTGGCGTCCGTGGCTAAGGCGTTGCGAGTCCGACTCGTAAGCCAGCATACCACGATCGAAACCCACTGCAGGCTGCGTGGATTTTTGTCGTAGTATGGGACGTCACAGGTCGACCCAGCCTAAAATGGATATCAGGATGGGCTGTCCTGGGAAAGTAAAGACAGCCGGCGTAATGCTGACCACATTACCCACAGAGTGCTGATGGTCTGTAAAAATATGGGACGCTCTGCCCATATGCCCGATGCGCCGAAAGGCGTGAAAAGGGAACTTTACTTTACTATTTTTTTTACTCAACATTTGGGGTTAACAGAGAAGAGATGGTACCAACTACTGTTTTACAGAATCCTATCCGACCAAGACCATAAATCTGTCTTTGTATTTTACCAATATAGTTTATAAAAAAAAAATAAAGATCCCTTTTCATGCCTTAGGTGCCTCGGGTATATGGGAAGAGCGTCCCATATTTATTTACAGACCAATCGGCCCTGGATGGGTAATGTGGTCAGCATTACATCGTCCGTCTTTACTTCACCAGAACAGCCATCCTGGTACCCATTTTAGGCTGGATGGCCCTGCGACGTCCCATTCTATAATAAAAATCCACGCAGTCAGCAGTGGGTTTCGATCGCGGTATGTTTGATTACGAGTCGGACTCGCAACGCCTAAGCCACGGACGCCACTTTAATAATATACACTATGTTATTTCATACATCTCAGATACAATATCATGTCACTTTTCTCTGGCAAGAGAATATAAGATTTAAACATATTATAGAAAAGGATCTTTCCCAGAAACATTTTGGCCTGTACTTTGCAGTTAGAAATAGAGAGACTGGGAATGAATAGGGAGTTGTTGAAATAAATAAAAAGGAAGTGGGTTAAATATTTTGGCGTAATAAGAAGACATAACATTCATAAAAAAATAAAAATACTTGAGGGAAGGTTGAAGGCAAGAGGTCATCAGCTAGGTAGATAGATAGTTGTACCCCTCCAGGACATCACACAAGCGATAAACACACGGTGACACAAAGTGTCACCATGCGGATGAGGATCACCCATGTAGAGCGGTCGCAGAAACCCCTTTCAGTCGTTAGGCCATATCTATATTTATATTCAGGGCCCCTGGCAGAAGCCAGGGTGGGTCTTCAAATAACAAAAAAATTGCATCCCACATGGGGACGACTTTGAACATAAGAGGTCATCATTGGATTGGCTTGGATTGGCTTTTTACCCCACCAGGACATCACACAAGCGATAAACACCCGTTGACACAAAGTGCCACCATGCGGATGAGGATCACCGTAGAGAGGTCCCAGAAACCGCGTTCAGACATTTGGCCATAATGATGACCTGCCTATATTGCGGCCCCTGGCAAAAGCCAGAGTGGGGCTTCAAATAACAAAAAATAACGTCCTAAGAAGGACGGATAACAAAAAATAACGTCCTAAGAAGGACGGAAGATATAAAACGGTCATCATAATCTAGCAGGTCCTTTATAGAACATCACTGCATCACAGTCTGCCTGAAAGAGACTTAGTCTCTCACCAGCTCTCCCGGTTCATGCATTTTCCTACCCAATGCGTCACTGATATCATGTGCCCATCTTCATGATAGTCAGCTCCTGCCCCTCTTTCATTGTACCATGCTTTCTGCTATTATTTTTCCCAATCCGAGATGGTGCTAAATAGAGTTCCTTGGAATAATAATATGGTAGTTTCCCTTTGCTTAGGCAAAAGGTAGACAGTTATACAAGAGGAATGATGACATTGCAGATGGATGAACAGCAGCCCAAATAGTGTGCACCCAGTGTGCAGTAGTCAACTATTTTTTTTTTTACTAAGAATGTACTAGTATAATGTGACAATATAAAAAAATAATATAATATTTACTGAAACACACTCTGGAGTTATACAAGATTAACTGTTTAAAGTACACACATACACTGATAATTTATCTATACGATCTATCTGTTTGTCTTCTTCACTTTTACCGGGGTTGCAGCCTAGTGTCGTGGTTTAAAATATTTGTTTTGTGCCTCTCGCGTGATTTGAGTGACAGTTTTCTGGATCTTCTGGCCATATTCAGCTACTCCATCTATCCATTTTTTCCTGGGTCTTCCTCTGGCCTTTCTTTCCGATGTTCTACTGTAAAAGGCCTTATAGGCAATCTGATCCGGTTGCATTCTTACTAAATGGCCAAACCACTTCATTCTCTGTATCTATACGATAAATAAGTAAATTCATAATATAACAATACAGACTTTCCAGATCAGATCTACATACTTGAAAATAAAAAAATACACTATCTTCAACATCATAATGTTAGCATCATCATTATGGAGTACCTTAACAAAGGACTTAGTCAATTATTCTCTATATCTTACAATCTACAAACGCAAGCATTAATTTTCTTGCCAAAACATGTTTAATACATGTGATAAAGCTGTGTAGAATCTTCTCTCATTGCTATCATTTGACTATCTCCTCCCATACATTTTCAGGTGTCATATTTTCCAACTGTCTTGTCTTATATTGTGGCCAAACAATAGTGTCTGCTTCATTCTAATGTAAGTTAAACATCAATAAAGATAAATAACTACAGGATTTGCTAAAGACAACATACACACACAAAATAATAATTGTTATCACAGCAGTATGATTAAATATTCAGCGACACAGAAACAAACAAGTTAGTGCAATTGAAACAAAGTATATATACACAATAGACTGCACAAGTGGCATGCTTTGGTGTAACTGATCAGGTGCAAACCACAGTAACAGTTGAATACAAGAAACAAATAAATTCATCCTTGTAACCTCTTAATTTTTCTTCCTTGTAACGTCTTTGATCTTTCTCTTTTATCGTCTCACCGATACCAGTAACCCAGTTTTGTGGTATCCTAGTAATCAGAGGGAATAAATTGTGTAATCTATTGATTGCAATGTCTTCGTTAAAATTTACCATGGGGCAACACTGCTTTAAATTTAGTGAAAGTAATCTCCTTGTGGGTTCTGAAGTTTCATTTGGGAAATGGAAAGGGGGGGGGGGGGGGGGGAGATTCACGGCCCTCTAACATATCTCAAAAGGTGACTAATTAGAAGTTTGTGCAAACCAGATATCAAAGCCAAGCTGTAAACCACAACAGGGCATTCTCCCCCTTTTAAGAGCAAACAGAAGAAGTGAAAGGAAAATATTCTACACAGAGACTGCAGCTTAGTCCTGATTAAAATTAAGCTCACTTTTGGAAAGTTTTGAATCCATATTAGTAGTTGAGAGCACACAGCAATGCTACACCTCTCTTGATCCAGTGCTCCTGTGGCTTGTCAGTGGGAATTTCCACAGAGAAGACAAAGTTGGTGGAATGTCCGGTGGTGGAGAGTGTACCTACAGAACAAATAACACTTAATGAATATGCTCATTGTTCAACATGCTGACAACAAGGAATCCTTTTCAACAACAGTAAAAACATGCAAAATGCAGTAATGAAGACATGCAATAGGATCTGCTTTATACGTATTCTGCTTTGGGTTACTAATTGTTGCAGGTAACAGATGATTAATAAAGGTAAAGGTAAAGTCGGGAGATGTGAACCAGCGTCTTTGCACACAGGTTATAAACCATAAGTGCTCTGCCACCAGTACGGACAGCTGATAAGAATTGTCCGCCTGTGTCGCCATTCGCACGTTACTCTGTAGCTACAGCGACGTTCTTCTATTTACCACAGAGTGTCACTCTGGTACCCATTTCCTGCAGGCTGGGTGAACCCGGGGAGCCACCCAGGTTTCGAACACCGACCGTGGCTTCAGCGAGTGGCAGCTGGATTTGAGAGTGAGCCTTTATTGACTGCGCTAACGCCGCCCCTGAGATGATGATTAGCGTCTGAGCTAGGGTGCGCTCAGTTGCCTGGTATGCTGTGATGTTGTGGAGTCTCAAGGTATCAGTAACTCCTTCAGTCCATATTCTTTTTGGTTGTCTCCTACCTCATGGTATTTCCACTTTCATGTTGTACGCTCTCATTGCATGCATCATTGGATTAATTCTCATTAAATGGCCAAACCATTCCAGTCTTTGCTTTTTTTTGTTGTTGCTTTTCAACGGATTTAATTATAGGTGTTGTTCTTGCACATTCTCTGTTTCTTAGAGGATCTATTCTAGTTTTGTTCACAGCCTTTCTCAAATATCTTATTTTGCAGGTGGTCGGTTGTCTTTCGTGTTCTTTAATTATTGTCTAAGTCTGGCACTGACAGTACAAAGTTGGTATGAAGACTGCATTTGCAATATGTCATTTTGTCTTTATTAGGATATACCGGGTGTTCCAAAACTGAGGTCAGTTGGTACTATATATATATATATATATGTGTGTGTGTGTGTGTGTGTGTATATATATGTGTTTAATAGGTCATGAATATAGTAGCTAAAAATAGTTTCCTTATGAAAGCCAAGTAGATCTCAAACTTTTCTGTAAGCCTCAGTGACAGAGGTCATGCGGTTATACCAGGTGTTCCAAAATTGAGGTCAGTTGGTACTTTATATATGTGTGTGTGTGTATGTGTGTGTGATGAGAATGATGATTATGGTGATTATGATGATATGATCTAACCACCTGTGAAATGAGATGTTTGAGAATGGCTGCGAATAAAACCAGAAGAGATCGAGTGAGAAACGATGTGATTACAAGAACTATTGGAACCATACCCATCGTTAAATTTATTGAGAAGCAAAGAATGAATGGTTTGGTCACCTAGTGAGAATGGAACCAACGATGCCAGCATCAAGAGCATACAACATGAAAATCGAAACACCAAGAGGCAGGGGAAGACCAAGAAGAAGATGGATTGAAGGAGTCACGGACAACTTGAGACTTCATAACATCACGGCATATGAAGCGACTGAGCGCGCCCTGGCTCGGTTGCCGATCATCTGATAGACTGCGACGCCTAGCGGCACAAGCAGATTTTGACAAAAGAAGAAAAGAAGAAGATGATATGATGGTTATGATATGATGATGGTGGTGATGATGATGATGATGATGTAACTGATGTATAGAAGTTAGTGTTGAAATGTGAATCATCAAACTAACATCATCTTAGAAACAGTGAAAATGTAGTCTTTGAGTTAATGATTCAACTTCTGCCTCAGCTCCAAGAAAGTAGCCTTTACTGTTAACACTGTCACCCTGAGAAAACTAAATCTAGTCACTTCTGGTTGTGACACAGTCCCCTAAATGCTAATATATGGCTGTCTGCAGGGAACTGTTCTCGAAAAACATTATTAATTCCACTGAATCTGTACATGTTTGTGCAGTGTTTAATAGGTCATGTTATAAATATAGTCGCTGAAAATAGTTTCCTTATGAAAGCCAAGTAGAACTCAAAATGTTCTGTAAGCCTCAGTGATAGAGGTCATGGGGTTATGGCATAAGCCAGCCATTATATTTCCATTTTTGTATGCCCAGGAGAGGTATCTTTACTGCTTCACTTTGCATTTATATATCTTTATATATTGGAAAAAAAAAATTTTTTTTAAATAAAATTCAATGGTGATAAATAAATTGAAAAAATAAAAAACTGCTTAGTGACCTGTGCAATATGTATGTTACTTGTAAAATGATTTTTTCCTAAATTTTACATGAGTTCATGACCTGTTTTTATGTTTTCCAAACACAAGGTAAAAGGCTGAGTAATGAGACATAAAGAAACAGAAATCAGTCATACCTGCTCTGGTTAAAGTCTTATAGACAGGGCAGTCATAGATATCAGTTATTGGAACTTTTCGGTTGGGAACTGGAATAAGCCAGATCACAGGCATGTCTGTGTACAGCTCTTTAGGCCGGGACTCTGCTAACATGTGCTGAGTGCTGTCCCAGCGTGCCCCTTCTGCGAACAGACCACGGATGTAGCAGCCATCTTTTGGTGCAGATGTCAGCTCGGTGTAAGAGTCCTTCAGTATCTACAGAAATCACAGAGAATGCTCATATCAGAAATTCAAGAACATGATGTACCTTTAAACAGATTGTGTCACAATTAATTAATTGGAAAGAGCAGATATCATAACAGTCTTCTCACTGGTCAGTCTTCAAAGGCTCAGATAGCTAAAACATTGCAGCATGAAGGACAGAGTTTCTAAAGTCTTTCTCTATTGGAATTAAGGATGGGTAGAAGATGTCCAGGTTGGCCTGGGTAGAAGATGTCCAGGTTGGCCTGGGTAGAAGATGTTCAGGTTGGCCTGGATAGAAGATGTCCAGGTTGGTCTGGATAGAAGATGACCAGGTTGGCCTGGGTAGAAGATGTCCAGGTTGGCCTGGGTAGAAGATGTCCAGGTTGGCCTGGGTAGAAGATGTCCAGGTTGGCCTGGGTAGAAGATGTCCAGGTTGGCCTGGATAGAAGACGTCCAGGTTGGCCTGGGTAGAAGATGTCCAGGTTGGCCTGGATAGAAGACGTCCAGGTTGGCCTGGGTAGAAGATGTCCAGGTTGGCCTGGATAGAAGACGTCCAGGTTGGCCTGGGTAGAAGATGTCCAGGTTGGCTTGGATAGAAGACGTCCAGGTTGGCCTCTACTGTGATATAAATATGTGTGGAAGTGGGCCATGAATAATTCAGGTAATGAGATGGATTTGTAAGAACTGGATGTCATGCTCCATGGAATTAGGAAGGGAACAGAAGTAAAGGATAAGCTGAATGCTGGTGAAGAAGAATGTTAAATGCACGTTGTTGTAACAGTGGTCCTGAAATTTAATACTCTGGCTGTAGGAGTCTTAATGCAAGTGGATCTTGCTAGTCATCTGCTTCTTCTTAAAGTCCATGCACTGTGGTGTTGGTAGTCATGTCTATCCACAGTCTTCTGTCTTGTGTACTTTCAATCAACTCTGACACAGATGATCCTCCAAAATACCTTATGTAATAATTTTTGGTGTGTGTGTGGCCGACTTATACTGACCATCCATCAATGACAAACTGAATTTCTGATGGTGACTGTTGGCTTTGGCACCTGTAGCAACCACCTTATACATTTACTTTGCGTGTGCATATTTATGGAATGTGCCTGGACTTATTGCTTTTTATCTCTGTTTTCTCATTGGCACTTGAGGGACATTTTATTTGATTTCCACTGGCACAGGAATGGAGCTTGTTTAGGATGACTCAGTTGCAGTGATGTTGAAACCTCATCTACGTCTATGAAAATATAACACTATTGTCTAGAAAGATAAAATGGTATTGACTGAGCATCATTTATTGGAGTCTCTGTGGTGTGGTGCTCAGGCCATTAGTCTCATTCTTTGACAGTTATGGGTTCGAATTCAGTCTACATTCTTTGATTCATGAGTACAGATTGACATCTCAAAACCTTGGCTATTCTCATAAGCACTCTGTTCTCATCTTTAGCAGCCAGCACAGAGTTTCAATTTCTATGTTACCAGTAACAGCTTCGTTGTTTTCCATCTTTCCTTTCACTTGAGTGACAGTCAGATGCCCTGGTCACTACCCACTGTGCAGCAACATTCTCTAGTGACAGTGAAGATCTTTTTGTGCCTCAGCACTGTTCACTCATCCCCAAAGAACCTTAATAGCATCTAGTCAGTCATGCACAAAATATACTTCCCTTCCATTTTAGGACGTAATTTTTGGTTATTTGAAGCCCTACTCTGGTTCTTGCCAGGGGCCGCTATATAGCCTGGCCGTAAATATGGCCTAAAGGCTGAACGCGGTTTCTGGGACCTCTCCACGGTGATCCTCACCCACATGGTGGCACTTTGTGTCATCAGGTGTTTATCGCTTGTGTGATGTGCTGGTGGGGTAGAAAGTCAGTCAGTCAGTCATGCACAACCAATGCATGTTTCTTTCCCAGCACACCTGCATATCCTGAAGATAGTATACAAAGGACGCTTACTACCATAACCTTTGGAGTGATTTTTACCACTCTGCACATAGCATACCTTTCTCAGCATGCTCTGTGAGTCTGTTACAAGCATGGTATATATTTGTAGCTGGTTCTCAGGCCAGCAGATGACTGCAGTGACTGTCTAAACCTTTATTCTCAAATGATCTCATATCCTAGGCTTTGTTGCACTAAGGGCCATAAGAGATCTCTGCATGTCTTCAAAGAGGCTCCAAAATTTCATGCTTCAAGCTCTGCTCTTGGTGGGTGAATAGCCACTATTCTGAAAGAGCCACTAATCTGAAAGAGCCACTATTCTGACAGAGCCACTATTCTGAAAGAGCCACTATTCTGAAAGAGCCACTATTCTGAAAGAGCCACTAATCTGAAAGAGCCACTATTCTGACAGAGCCACTATTTTGAAAGAGACTCTATGCTGAAAGAGCCAATATGCTGAGAGAGCCACTATGCTGAAAGAGCCAATATGCTGAAAAAGCCAATATGCTGAAAGAGCCACTATGCCGAAAGAGCCCCATGAAATGAAACCTGTGCAATGAAGTAAATTTTGCCTAAGTGTTGGTAATGAATGAGCTGATAGATTGACTGGTTCTGCCTAAGTTGCAAATTGGCAGCCTATGGAATGTGCTAACCCTGTTAATTAAAGAGGAAGACTGGCTGATTAGAGAGAGAGGATGACTGGAGGATTTTGGGAGCAGCGCGTCCATATCACCATGAAAAATGTAAGAACTAAGAGTAAATACTAGCACGAGAGGCATACCAGATGCATAAGAAGTCTTGTTAACCAGCACGGGATTGGCATAATTAATCAAGGAACATCTATTTACACACTGAAAGGGAAATCTTACTTATTTATGTGTCCGGAGAGTCATGAAAATATCCCAGCTCACAACTCTTGCCTTTCATCAACATCCTATCATCATGCTGTGCCATTGTATGTAACATAGAGTTCACAGTCTCTTATCCTTTCTTTTCTATCCTTGGCAATCCTTCCAGTGTCATGGATGGAATCCAGGTCAGCCACTTTTTGGCCTTTAGTTTCCTCAATTCATGTATTTCCCAGTTCACTGCTCACTTCTTTTCTTTAGCACAACCCTCCTTCTTTTTCAGTGGGCTTTTGACCAGCAATAAATAATATATACATATTTTTTTTTTTTATTTTAAAAAAAAAAGAACAGAGAAAATTATCAAAATTATCAATGGAAAAGAATGGCCATCAATGATAATGAAGATGATAACAAATAAGTTTCTCTTTTATTTTAAAAGTAACAGCAGATAATAACAGTAGTGAAATGTGAATGAATTTTTCAAACATATTCCCTTTTTTTTTTTAAAAAATTTGTTCTCATGATGTAATGTTTGAAATATATTTTCTTACTGCAGTAACTAAAACTTCTCATGATGTAATATTTGAAACACATACTTTTTGTGGTACTATCTAAACAATGTCTCATGATGTAATATTTGAAACACATTCTTTTTTGGTGGTACTATCTAAACAATGTCTCATAATGTAATATTTGAAATATAATTCTCTAAAAATAAATTATAAATATATAATAACTAAAACTATTTCCCAGTTTACAGACCAGTTTACCTGAAACTCAAAAGTTATGGAATCAATAGAGATGACACTTTTTCTGGCATAATTCTGCAATGTTCCAGTCAAGAATGCTTGGGGGAAGAAAAACCCAGAAATCCAGTACACCTAAGATATAAAAAAAAAAAAAGGTAAAATAATAATGAAATAATGATTATGATATGATAAAGATGGTGATGATAATGAAAACAATAATGATAATAAAAGTAATGCATAGGTGTTTTTGAAATTAAAAGATAGGTACACAGTCATCCTTATCATAAAGTGCATTGCTGTCTGATATGGGTGATCATCGATTCGACCATAAAAATATAGGTCTAGCCTTATATGCCCTTTACGCCTAAAAGCATGGAAAACTGACCTTTTTTTAAAAACCTATGGGTGATCATACCTCTCCACAATCATAACTCTCCACAATCATACTTCTCCACAATCATACCTCTCCACAATCATACATCTCCACAATCATACCTCTTCACAATCATACCTCTCCACAAACATACTTCTCCACAATCTGTGATCTTAAACAGCATTTATGAGTTTGTGTGCTTTTGTGCTGACACACCTCAATGCCATGACAAAAAGCTATCAAAAATCTTCTTGCGTTGTTCTCTTCTGTCTCTTTTCTACAGATTTTCTGGGTTATCACAGAATGTTGCAGTTTCCTTCTCTCTTATAAAATGACCAAATAATTATACGTCTCTTTATGATGACTGTGACAAGCTGTGTTCAAAATACATTAAACACAAAATGATTCTGAAATTAGGTGACAGGCATTACATAAACAATCAGCTTGTGCACTACTACAACTCCAAGATTTGTAATTGTCTGTAAAAGAACACACAAACCACTTTACTACTGCTCTTGAATAAATGTGTCACAATCAAATACACAAAATAATGTTTAAAATTCAAGAGGATTGGCTTCATTGCACTGGCTCTTATTTCAAAAGGCTTAGTTTCTCACTGCAGAGTAGCTAGCTGTCTGCCAAAAATGTTACACAAGGCATAACCTCTAAATCTCCAGTGACAATCCCCAGGAGTTTAACCCTTTCAACATAGGAAATCTTTTTTTAAAAAAATGTTTATACTAGAATTTCAGAAGAAATAAATATGTAAAAAAAAAAAAAAAATGTTTACATAACTCACCAATGAGTTTGTTAAAAATAAATATTTATTTTTTAAATATATAAAGATACATGAAAGCATTAATCATAAACATGAACAAAAGGTCCCTTCTTTTATGCATTTTGGCATTTTGGGAATATAGGGTTTGACCTATATTTTCATAGACCAATCGACACTTGGTGGGAGATGTGCTCAGCATCACACCAGCCACCTTTACTTCCCTGGACCGCACCTGGTGCCTACTCAAGACTGGGTCGACATGGAAGTCTGGCTCCGTCATGACGTGAACTCACAACCTTCCACCCACAGGCAGAGGGTCTAGCCTCCAACGCCAAGACGACTCCCAAACATGAACAAGGTAAACATTCAATGGAATACATCCCTCGGGGTTTAAAAAATACTCATGTATCAGTTGACTTCTGCTGTGACCCTGTGACCTTCACCACTGAGGCTTACAAGAAAGTCTGACACCAACTTGTCTTTTAAAGCCATTTAAAAGACCCCCTCCCCCACCTCAGACCTTTACCCCCGAATCTAAACAGGTAAGGTCAAGAGATATGAAACAGCGTCAATGCACACCTTCATAAACCATAAGTGCTTTGCCACCAGTATGGACAGCTGATAAAAAACTGTCCACCTGTGTCACCATCCGTACTCAACTCTGTAGCAACAGCAACATTCCTCCATTTACCCCAGAGTGCTAACTCTGGTACCCATTACCTAGAGGCTGGGTCAACCCCGGGAACCACCTGGTTTCAAACACAGGCGGTAGGCTGCAGAAATTTGATTTGAAAGCAAGTCTCCTATTGACTGCACTAACACACCCCAATTTATTGTTATTTAACACATTCATATCCTTATCTCCTAATCATTTGTGCAGGCAGAACTCAGCCAATAGCATTAACTATGCAGCACGCGTACGTAACTATAAACAAGTTACAAACATGAGATATATAGAGAATTTGACCCAACCAAAAGTGGTGGGTTTTTTTTAGCATCTCGGGGTGAAAGGGTTAATAAATAACTGCACTTGTGAACTAAAGAAAACAATTGTCCAACCATTTTTTAAAATGCCGATAACGAGTGTGTCAAAATGAAAAGTAATAACTTTACTTACAGAAGGAATGCCTTCATCAATCCAGGAATGGATGAAGTTCATTCTTGAGATGAGGTCAAGCACCCATGAGGCTAAGGGTTTGAGGGAAGGGTAAGCCTAGAGGAACAACAGCAAAAGTAGAACATTTAATTATTCATTGAACACAAAGCACCCAAAGGTTGGAAAAAAAAAACACTTTTGTCTTCTTCTTGTTCTTTAGCATTCTGAGCCCTCCAGGTTCATTGCGGCAGAAATCACGCACCTCCTTTCATTTTTGTGGCCTTCTCTTTGCAGGTGGTGGCTCCAAGGGTCTGTAGTTCTCTCTGTACTGTCTTTCCACAATCTTCTTGGACTGTCTCAAGGTCAGCTCTGATTCATCTATTCTGTGTATGCAACTTTGGCTTCACAAAAATGATGTGCATCTTTTGTACATTCTAAGTTTGTCTCTGCTGTTTGTCTAAATATAAATATTTAGCCCTCTTAGAAACCTTTTGTGGTAGTCACTTATAACATACCACATTATAAAATATAACACATACAATCTATACAAAAGTAAAGACAATTCATGTATAACTGCCTGTTTATCTGTCACAAAAAAGCCTCCAAATCGGTGAGTAGTAGTGAAGTAGATTCGCATAAGTATTTTGGCTGCCATTTCTAAGTGCACTGTTTCCAACAAGTGTTCTAAGTCCTCCTGCAAACTAATGCCACTCTAAACATCCACACTGACTTCAATTATTATTATTATTATTTGTTTTTTATATCTAAAAATGTATACCCTAAATATGTAATTCAGCTGGTGGTGATGTGGTATTTCTCATTTCCTGGCGAGGTGCTGACTTCTGATGTACCCGGGTTCAATTTTCACAGCAGGCAGTTGAGAAAAGTATCGCTCTCATGGCTTTTAGATAGTTGCATGAGAGCCACACCTTGGAAGAGATTGGTGCCTCAGCACAGACAGTAGTGGATCCATTTCAGGCAAAATTGTGGAGACAGCAAGCACAAAAGCAAAACAGAACAACTTCTTCTTTTGTCCTACTGCTTATGCTGAAAGCAGGGCTTTTCATCTTGCGGCCAATGGGCCAGATGTGGCCCTAGAGACCTAGCAAGTATACTGGTATACCCTGGTATACTGTATTAATGATCTTTCCACCCTGGGGCTCAGGCCTCTGGGCTGTGACGATCCACATGTTCAAAAGTGTGGCCCCTGTGTAGACTTAACTGAATAGCCTCAAAGTGTCGCACAGAGAAGATAGATATAGTTTTCTGTCATTTGCCAGCTGCACAGTTTGTGTTATGTCACACTGTATCCCTTTTACTCCATTCACCCATCTCTTTCTTGGTCAGCCTCTTGCCTTGTAGCTAGCTGTTCTAATGTAGCTGTTGGCTGAGTTTGTTCCATTCTGATTAGATGACCAAGCCATTTGATTCTTCGATGTTTCATTAGTTCTATTTAAAAAAGTAATCACAAAAACTTGGTTACCTTTGTTGCCCAAACTGTGGGCACTGCATTGTTGAAGAGGCTATTGGCCATATCCTCCAACTGTTGAGACATGACAACCAAGCCTTTGAGGGCCTTTTGGAGATCATGTAGCGATTGGTGGATAACATTCAGTAGTCGATTGTAGCTGTTGTGAAGATAGAACAAAAATGTTGTTACTGTCTGCATTTATCATTTCAATGGTGTAGGACTGGAAAGGGCAGTTTTAAGCTGAAGGATTTAAAGCTGCACGGCTAGTGCAGTTACCATGATCAGTGTGGATTAGAATACCACCCCCCTCCCCCTTTCCCCATGATGATGATTAAGACAAACTTACCGAATGACTTCCTGCACAAGGACTGTGTTCATTGACTGGTCATACAATACAGGGTATTTGGTCATGACATTGGCCAAATCCACAGCTTTAGGAACTTGCTTAAGGATCGCTTGAGCTGTGTTTTCCATAACCTACAACACAGATAGAAAATGAAATAGGTTGCACTGCATTAAAGCTGTAAACTCTGGATGGCTCTAGACAACTACAGTGATTGATTAAACAATACATCACAAGAACAGGAAGGACACCGGAAGGGAAAAGAAAATGGGGAAGACCAAGAGAGACTCTGCGTAGAACCATCATCAGTGAAGGTTCAACTATGGGCCTGATGAACATCCATAAACAGGTGGCAAAAAAAAACCCGGCAGATATGGAGAGCTATGATCTCTGCCCTATGGGCCGCCTTAGGTTCAAGAGGACAGACTAACTAAGAAGAACAGAGGTTAGAATATGATATGTAAATATATATTAAGACAGAATAATGGTATCCCAGTACACTTCTGCAATGATAGACTACACAATATAATTGCTATAATAGTTTGAAAGTGCACTTAAAATATATTCAACCTGACAATCTATACCCCTACAATCTTGTATAATTAATACATAAACTATGCAATATTGAATGACCAAAATCAAATTGTAGGCATTAATATCCATTAGTAAAATTGTAAGAAAAAAAACAACACTTATATACCCTAAGGCAGACCAAGAAGATTATGCAGAGATAATTTCCAGGCAGACCTACAAACACTTAGTGTCACCAATTAGAAAGAAAAGGCCAACCAGAAAGACGGATGGAGGTGGGTGATATCTGCAGCAATGAACTTCAAGGGCTCTAAATGCTGAAAAAGAAGACGATATATCCCAATTATTAACCAGATCACGATCCCTGGTTGCCTGGAACAGCTCTCTTGATGATATCCCTCCTTGTCATCATTTCAGCCGATCCAGCATCATCTCTTTCAGATATTGTGTTTAAATTACTACTACAATGTGTTTCATAATTGTATTATCCTTGAAATACCAGGGTTTAATTTCCATGGCAAATAGTTTATTATGAGTTTATTAAAAGTTATACTCTCACAGCCTGATTGAGAGAAATTAAAAGGAGGATGGCCATAGCAATGCAAAGATTGAACAGCCTTGAAAGTCTATGGTTAAGCACCAGCAAGGTGATCAAAATTAGAATTTTGAGAGCGTGCATCTTCCCTGTGGCTACATACGGATGTGAGTCATGGACTATCTCCCAGTCCTTAAGAAAGAGAATAGGGGCTTTTGAGCTGAAATGCTATAGAAAGATTCTCAGAATATCTTGGACAAAGAAGAGGAGAAATACTGACATCTTAAAAGATCTGAACATCAAGGAAGATTGGCTAATAAACAGCATCCTTTCTCAAAAGCTGAAATATTTTGGTCATATCAAGCGCCATGACGGATTGGAAAGAATTATAGCAGAAGGCATGCTATTCCTTCCTGAGGGGCAGAGGCAGACCTATACGAAGATCGGCACAGGATATAAGTGACTCCTTGAGTATGAAAGTACATGAGGTGGGAGAACTGACGAGAAACCGAGTTTCTTTCAGGCAGACTGATGAGAGCGACGTTCTGCAAAGGACCTGCTCCATGATGATGGTGACTCTCACAGTGTTAGGACAAATGAGCCACACTATGGAAGAGATTGGGGCCTCACCACACTAGATTCCCATAGGGCAGTAGATGACACTGTAATAACCTTCATTGTGCAGATGATACAAAAATAATCAGAAGATCCCAATTATAACCCTGTGGGTTGAAAAGGGATACAGTTATGTGAGAAATTATTCTTCTTCTTAACGTCATGTTGTGTGGCGTTGTTAGCTAGTCATGTCTATCCCTGACGGTTAGCTGATAGATCATGCTATTATTTATGCCCTCAGAGAAATGGGAAGGATAGAGGACTTTAGGAGCAGTGAATCCAAATCACAAGATCGGCATATAAAAAAACGAGACACACAAGACTTGTTAATCAACATAGAACTGGTACTATTAGCCATTGGATGTTGGGGTTCATACTGAGGGGAGGATCTGAGCACCTACGGACATGTCCAGAGTGCAATGAGGATAACCCAACTAACTAACTAATTTGTCTATCCACAAACTTTCTGTCTCATGTACTGTCAATCAGCTCTGACACAGATGATCTTCCATGCCATGATGTCAAACTGTCCAGCAACTTCTCCCTCAGTCTCCCTCTGCCTCTTCCCCTCTAATTTTCAAACCATCACAATGTACTCCAGATTTTCTCTTCCTCATGACATGACCAAAGCATGCAGATTGTCTCCTAAAAAAATTCAACTACACATTAAAAACAGATATTATCTAAATTCAGAAATCTTACTTCTTCCCTGGACAAGCCTCCTCCTAAAGATGTCTTTGGCTGCAGCTTGACCAAGTCTTCCAGCAACATAAATGTCTCATTCTGTGCAAATGTAATATTTGCGTTCTCATGGAGACCAAACATTTCTGGCGTGTCATTAATGGGCAAGCTTCGGATGTAACTCAGATATCCCTGCAAAGATAAAAAGTAAGCTTAGTTATTTCACCAGAAGGTTTCACAGGAGACTCCAAAGTGAATAAATAATTATAATGAAAAACATCATTGATGCATTACTTTCAAAGTGGCAATATACAAAGTAGTAGTGACCATTCGGGAAATGTAGATTTCTTTAGTATGTTTACCTACCCAGGGGATTGAGGGGGAAAACCATTGGAGTATATACTTAACTGTCACTGGAAATATAATATTCTGGACAGCATGCATCTAAAATGTTTTTGGTTTTCAGCATTTATCCTGCAGCAACATGTTCCAATCAAAACAATGTCAGCCAGTTTGGAAGTCTGAGTGAAGATGGACAACAGACTTAGAACTTCAACTATCATGACAGGACATGAGAGGGAGGGCAGGATTTGAACGTCAGTGCTAGACGTAAGACTTTCAGACTAGATGGGACAGAATGTGGATATGAGAGGGAGAGATGAGATGTTTTATTAGAATATGCATGTTTGGTTAAGTCTAGATACTACACATGTGTGTTTGTTTCAATTATTACAGTTCCCATCAGGGGCAAGGAGCAGTCAGAAGCAGAGGGTTTGTGTATGAACCTACATTGCGTGGGAGATCGGCAAACTAGAAAAAGCTAGGAAGGACCTCAACTCGATGGCTCTCAGAAGTTCTGTGTCCTTAGTCAAAGCTATCTTCAGTATTTATGATCATAAATTTATCATCATCAAAATAACAACACTTTAATCTCAGGTGCTCAGTTCTCTAGCTGAAGTATCTCATTACCTCCATAACATCACTGTTTAATCATATATGTTATAAATGACAAATGTTAATCAAATAAGTTCTAGAATAATAAATCAAAAATATGGTTACATACTGCATCGTTGGTCAAATTCCTAGTGTATTTGTTCTTAAATGTTTAACTAAATTGTTAGGTAGAATTATTAAAGAGCTTCCACCAAATGTAATATTTGGTGGGGGCTCTTTAATAATTCTTTGCAAGAAGGAGGTAGTCAGGAGGGGTCACCTGCCCTGTCTAATAATTCACTAATTAAAGTAATCTTAACATCTAAAACCCCTTTCCTTCTCCTGTGGGTACCAAGTGCAGCTGCTGTTAATTTACAGGAGGAGCCAAATATGGCTGTTTTCTTAGATATCCAGGAGTTTGTCTGTGATCCACATAGCTCGGATATTAGTCCAGTTTCTCTGGTGGAGGTGAAGAGTTGAGAGTAAACCTCCTACTTATCACAAAAGCGCCTTTCCACCGGAGCACTCATGACAGGCATGTCAAAAATCCATTGGCCGTTGGAAATCGAAAAGCATAAACTAAAGGTGCTGCCTGGGCACAATTTTGAGTTTAAAATCTACCCAAAGTATTTCAGAATCCTGGCCGGTGCTACAGAGTTTGTGCACTGTGCTGAGATTATTTGGATTCAGGCTCAAGTTAGAAGTAGAAAGGAGCACTTATGGGTTACTACCCTTGTGCCGCAATGTTGATCCGTTGTTTAAACCTAAACCTAAACTTTTTGTTCCACAAAGCACCTGAAAAATTATAATTAAAATATTAATAATAATAGGTTCTCTAGACTTTGTGTTTCTTTAAACAAAATCTTATGGGATAGCAAAATGTGAACATCTTTCTAATTCTCTGAAATAGGCAACAGTTTTTTACATTGAGCTCATTATCAGTGCTGATCTGTTTGTAGATCCCAGATTCAGAGTAAGTGAAGCCCTCTTTGATGACATCACTTTTGTAGAACCCTCCAAGAATATTCATGAGACACCTTCTGTCCCAATCGTCTGTCACACGACCTCCATAGTTGATATGTCCAGCTGTATACACAAGAACCTGTGGACAGAAAATATTGCGGATGTCAATTAATTTTATGCGCTGTGCGTTGCATTCACATTTTGGGGGAAGGGGGAGGTAACAAGAAAAAAATACCACTGTCCCTAACCAAATGTTGAATGTTGAATTAAGAATTAACATCCCAATACTCAGAACATTCCCATAGCCGCTCCATCCCCATCATCAGTAACAAGCAAAGTATTCCAATTCCGGAAGTCTGGTTCTTTTAAGAACTTCTTTGTTTTTTTGCATGGTCCTTCCTCCTCGTATTAATTCTGGGACTCCTTCTTCTTCTCTCTTCCATCATTTACCTCAGCGAGGTGTTGGGGAAGATGTAAGGATCGTTGGGACTGCACTGTGGGAAAACAAAAATATAGACTCACAACCTTCCCAACAAGTATGTCATCATCATCATCATCATCATATGCCCTGCCAATTGGCTTAGGCGCTCATGCATCTTCAAAGATTATGATCCTTGGGTGCCTGGAACAGCTCTCATGATGATATCCCTCCATGCCATTGTTTCAGCCCATTCAGCATCATCTCTCTTGGTCTGCCTCTACCCCTTTTTCCACTGATCTTTCCAGTTGTCACGATGTTCTCCAATGTCTCTCTTCTCATTATGTGGCCAATGAACAGTGTTTCTCTCTTTCCTAGTGTTGTATATAGAGATCTACTTTCATTAGCTTCTTCCAAGCAATTGTTGTTAGTTACTCTGGCCGTCTAAGGTATTCGTAACATTCGTGTCATAAGAGTCAACTAATTGGTACTTCCTTTGAAGTCAGAGTGCATCTACCTAAGAGGCAGGGAACCAACAGCAGTATACCTGTCTCCATCGTTATCAGCATGTTTAAGTAAAAGTCATAAACTTTCCTTCTTATATCTTCAAAATTATTTTACAGCTATTTCTTCCCTCTCTCCTCTTTCTCTTTCCCACAGACAGGACAAGATATGCACTTGAATGTCTTTCTATATCTATTTTTGTGTTTCCTTCCAGTTATATCTGTATCTTCTGTCTCACTCCTTCCCTTGCCCTCTTCTCTCTCTCTCTGCCCTTCTCATCACCATCATGTTACAGGTTCTTTATAGAACGCTGCTCTCATCATTGCCCACCTAAAAGAAACTCAGCTTCTTGCCAGCTCTCCTATTTCGTGAACTTTCTAAGCCAATGTGTTACTTCAATCCTGTGTCCATCTTTATGCTGGTCAGCCTCAACCCCTCATTCCTGGAACCATTTATTTCTGCAAATATTTGTTCCAGTAAGCTGTAGTGCTTGATATGACCAAAATATTTCAGTTTCTAAGACAAGATGCTGTTTACTAATCTTTCTTGAAGTTGAAATCTTTTAGGATGTCAGTATTTCTTTTCTTCTTTGTATTTTTTCTCACATGCAGTTTTTACTGGTAGTCATATCTTTCAAATACACTTCCACAACTTTAGGAGAATAATCAAACATTTCACTAAGGAAATAACATGTCAATGACACATGTTAGTAAGATTGTCTAATTATTCATAGTTCAATTTCTATCATAATCATAACTCAAAGCAATAAGTGAAACATTACATATGGCATATTGGTCATTTAAATAATTACATGATACATAAAATAAAAAATAAAAAATATATACTCTGAGAAATCAATTAACACTATATATTCCAGTTATGTTGGCATCTGTGGCTTAGGCGTTGCGAACGAGCTTTGTAACGCTGAGTTGCTAGGTTCGATCCCAGCTGCGGGCCTTGCGCTGGTTTCAACAGTTCTATCGAGAAGCCGACCGTCTAGTAAGCAATGGCAAACTACTGGTCATAAAAAAGAAAAACCACAACAGCCACAAAATTCTGGAGTGGTTCTGCAATGTCCTGTAAAGGATACACAACTAACTATCCCAATTATAACCCTAAGGGTTGAACAGGATATTTTTTTTTAATTACTACTACTACACACTAAACATGGATTTGTGGGAAGATGTGTGGGAAATTATTATTACTCTTAAACACTAGGAAATATTTGTACCTTAAATGGTATTTCTGTGTATTCCATCAAAAACATTTTGAGCTGGCTGATACATATTCTGAGATCCCCGTCTGTGAACTCATACGGAATGTTGAATCCAAGGGCTCCAAATTTTCTTCTTTCAATGACAACGCCATGGAATAAACACAACGAGAGCAACAGATGCTTAAATTCTGGAACCTGGGATTAGAGGACAACAATAACATATTTTATAATTCTTATCTAATACACAGTTGAGTTGAGTTGAGGCAAGAATTGACATCACAGCACTCGGGGCATTCCCATGCATGCTCCGTGCTTATCTTCAGCAGCCAGCACAGAGTTCCAATACTGTTGGTACCGGTCACAATCTGGTTATATGTCTGTCTTGCCTTTCCTCTGAGTGTAGTGAGCCGGTCAGACCCTCTGGTTACACCCTGGTGCCTCATTCTCTCCAGTCAATAATCTAATACACAGTGAGCAGCTAAGTTTGAGTTTAATTGTAACTGTTATAGTGAAAACAAGAATAGACCAACTGCCTACCCAAAAGCATATCGTAAGAGACGACTAATTGGAAGCTTCCTTCAAAGTCAAAGTGCAACTTCCTGAGAAGCAAGGAACCAACAGTCTGCATACAAATTAGTCAGAACTGTCAAACAGATGCACGTGTAACACTCAAGTTCTGGAACAGGACTGTAGTCCAGAAGTGGACGAACAACCAGAACTTTCCGCCAGAGTTTACAGCTGGTGAACGCAAAGAAGAAAGAGAAGAATGTAACAGATTTTTCTGATCAGGAAAAAAATAAAATAAAATGTCAAATTAATGCAAATGAGAAAATTCTTTAGCAAGTGAATCAGTGCACTATCTTGGAACAGTCATTACGAGATGCTTGGCAAAGATTTGCACAAGAATTATAATGGCAAAAGTGACAGAAAGATTTAAGAGATACCAATAAGACAATGTTAACTGCAGTCACAAAAACAGTGTTAAAGTAATTTATATAGAATCTATGTTGCTATATGCAGAGACTTGAATTATTTGCAGGCAAGTTAAAAGTTTAATTTAAACTAGAGAGGATGTAATTCGTTACACTTGGTTTTATTGGTTATTGTTATGGCTCAATCTCTCTCTATAGAACAGCTAGTTAGCAACCTGCTGAGAGCATCACACAAACCATGAACTCTGTATCTCCATTTATGATCCCCATAGATCTGTATATTCTACCTCCTCTTCTCAGTGCTGACAGACTATAAACTCCAGTGGAAATTTCTGGTTGTTTGTCCACTTCTTGACTTTGGTAATTGTGTAACTGTCTATTTCCTTTCCCAATACTCATTTATACTATGATTATATTAAAGTAAAGTAAAGACCTTTTTCCACACCTTTAGGTGTAAAGGACATATAGGGCTAGACATATATTTTATAGACCAATTGGCACAAGATGGGTTATGTGGTCAGCATCACGCCGGCCGCCTTTATTTCCTGGGACTGCACCCAGTACCCATTCAAGGCTGGGTCAACTTGACTTTGGTTTCCAGGTTGACCCAGCATTGAGAGGGTAACGGGTGCAGACACAGAAAGTAAAGGCGGCTGGGTGATGCTGACTACATCACCCATCATGTGCAAAATTGGTCTAGCCCAAAATAACCTATACACCTAAAGGCGTGGAAAATGGTCCTTTACTTTACTTTTACTTACTTACTTTCAGTCAATTCTAATGTGTATATAATTTTCTGTGCCATGATAATAAACTGTCCAGTATCTTATCTCTCAGTTTCTCTCTTCTTCTTTTCCCCTCCAACTTTCACACTATCACAATGTACTCCAGTTTTATCCTCAAGACATGACCAAGGAATGTAGGCTGTCTCCTCTAGGATGTGGGAATTCAGTTTCTTTTAAGACATCTTCCTTACTATTTTTATCTGTCCAGGATGTTCTCAATGTTTAATGTTGAATTGAGTATCAACATCATAGCACTTATAACACTCCCATAAGCGCTCATCCCCATTTACAGCAGCAAAGAGTTCCAATTGTGATGGTACCAGTACCTGACCAACTGTATATCTGTCTCTTCTTTCATTTGAGTATTGAACGTCTGCCAGATTCCTTGCTAACTTCCTGCAGTGCCATTCTTCTCAGACCATAATGATTATGTTGTGCCTCCACACTGTTCACTAGCATTCACCTACAAAACCACATCTTTTCCCCTTTCACACAATTTCTCACTAATTAGTTAACTGTCCATGATTCCCTTCTATATATTCAGGAAAGCTCTTGAGAATTCTCTCTCTCAACTGATCTGACAAAGAAATATTGCACAGAATATTATTTATTTTATGAGATTCTACCTTTGTTTGAGCTATTCTATATTTAACTTCTTTAATACATCTTCCAGCAGCTGTTATTAGGGTAACCAACTCCTTAAATATATCAGCTTGCTTGAGAATGGTCCCAGTTACATTGATGTTGAATTCTGGACTGTCTTATTTTGTTGTAATTATCAAAACTTTCATTTTTCTGATGCAGAATAAAATTAACTGATAAGCTTAAATATCTAATACTGAATTTATATATAGGTTGAACAGAACATTGTTATATAATTTACAAAACAACTACTATTATTGTCCCTTGTTTCAATATGACCTTAAAATATAGTGATATGTTGTCTATCAATTCCTGTTCTTTTTAGGGTGCAATTTTTCGTTATTTGAAGCCCTACTCTGGCTCTTGCCAGGGGCTGCAATATAGCCCGGCCATAAATATGGCCTACTGGCCACATCGTGGTTTCTGGGACCTCTCCACAGTGATCCTCATCAACATGGTGGCACATTGTGTCATCAGGTGTTTATCACTTGTGTGATGTCCTGGTGGGAAAGAAAGTCAGTCAGTCAGTCTGATATGTTTATATCTATCCCAGGACAACACTAACCCAGACACTCACTTTGTTGCCACACTGATTGAGAAAATCATCTGTAAAACCCATGTATGAGCGCAGCAAGGTTGGCTTTAATCCCCTTTGGTGGTTCAACAGTCATCTTGGAGCTGTTCTGTAAAATAAAAACTGGAAACTTCTCACTCGGCATACTGGTCAGCCATAGTCTGAAGTCCCGGTGAACCTGTGGAGAATTCATGTTAGATTATTTGTAATTTAATGCTAAATTAATTTATATACATCATCCATATCATCGTCTTGTTCTGTTTCAATGTCAAACAGATACTGAAGTCTATTCCCCCACTCCATTATTATTATTATTATTATTACAATTTTATTGCTTGTTCTGCTTTTTGTTTCTTCTGCTTCTTGCTTCTTCTTCTGAATGCTCACAGACTATAATAAACTCTAGTGCAAAGTTCAGGTGTTCATCTACTTCTTGACTTTGGGCTTGTTCTAGAACTTGAGTTTTGTGTACACATCAGTTTTACCAACTTAGTTTATTTATATGCAGATTATTAGTTTCTTACCTCTCCGGCAGATGCACCCTGACTTTAAAGAAAACACCCATAATTAGTCACCTTTTGTGACATGCTTGTTAGAGGTAGTTGGTCTATTCTTATTCCCCCCCCCCCCCCTCCCCTCCCAAATAGAACCCACATGGGGACTGACTCCATTCTATCACTTCTGGTCCAATATGGCAGATAGTCCACTTTCTGCTGATGTACTGAAAGGTTATTTGTTTTTAGCCAGGGTGTGCTGATTCTATGTTTCTGGACAGAATCCAAGAGTTCTGTCAACCAGCTACTGAGATAAGTGCTTGGAGTGACACGGTGAGCTATGGCTTTTATGTGGAATATTTTTTCCTGTTGTGCTCATGAGGACTTGTTTTGTGAAATGCCTTTAAAATGCTGGGTGGCCGATGATGTTTGAGAATGGCGGTACTGGGTGTACAATGCCTGCTTTTGTAACTAACAGATTTTGTAACAGACTGTTTGCATCAACAGTGGGTTGATAGTGTTGGTAGTAACCCATCTGCAGAAAAGCTGGAACCTCATCTTATGACTAATGACTGTGCGCTGGAAATCTGTCTACTTTCTTCTTAAGCTGAAAGGTTTAAGGTCAAAAGTATCAACTTTATTGTACTGTTCTCAATCTCTCCCCCCCCCCTCCTCCACCCCTCTCCACACAGTCTTGTTCCATAAAATGGCTAGCTGCTGGCTGAGAGCTTTGCACAAAACATGAACTCTGTAGCTTCAGTGACAGTTCCTAGGGATCTCTATAAAAATTTAACTTATGAACCAAAAGATGCAGTCTAAGAAACAAACCTTCAGACGGTGAAACAAATATCTCAACGACTTAGCCTAAAGGACTCCCATAGGAAGAATGTCACCCACTACTGGGCTCAAACTCATGACCCTGAGATTAGGAATCTCAGGTTCTACTGAGTAATCTAGCCATCTAGTGTTTTCAGTCAATTTTACTTTTCTCAATAACTGCTATATTATTTTTCTATTTCTTAAGGCCTCTGAGATTTGGTTTTACAGATAAATCCTTAGAATTACTTGGGCAGATAAAAAAAAAAGCAACCCAGATGCTTTGAAAGAGTTGAGGGCTCAATTATAACTTATCACAAACATCAGAAAAAGACAAACTGTCCTATTTTAGTTATGGTATGAGAAGAAGGAAAATGGAACATGTTCTGACCCCTGGAAAGATCTGTGGAAAAAGAACAGAGGAAAGACAATGCGAGAAAATTCTTTACAGCCTCTTGTCATGGCATGGAAGGGTGTAAGCAGGTGTAAGCAGGTGGAAGCACATGAAGTGAAACATGCTGCTGAAGATGGTAGATTGTGGAGAAGCATGACTGCCCATGCCACTCATCAAGGTACCTGATAATGATGACAGCTTCTATATTAATTATTTTAGCATCACCACTACTCAGCTCATTTGGAGAGTCATAGCAGCCACCTTTCTTGATCTATTGCATCTAAGCTCAGCCCTTTTGTCATTTTAATCCCTATAGTTTTAACTTCACTCTCTAGCTGCGATTCGCTCAGCCCATATTTGTTCAAAACCGGGTGGTTTCCACTTCTATGCCCTCTAGAGCTCTGGGTGCCAGAAACACTAATGGAGTAAATGGAGAAACATTGCAATACTTAGCCGGAGTTCCTATAGGAAGAATGTCAGGCGGACGACTTTCTCAATCAGCTGACCCGTACATTGGGAAATCTCAGGTTCTGGTTGATAACCTAGCAATGACGCTGTTTTCAGTCTCCCGACTTTACCTTTCTCCTTAACTGCTATATCTTCTTCTTTTTTTCCGCTCTATTTCTTGGAGAACAGGCCCAAACTAGCTCATTTCATCATCCTACCTTGACTATTGCATGAAGCTCACCCCATGTCTTCCCTATAGTTTTAACTTCACTCTCTAGATCCCATCTCTGTATATTTTTTGGTCTGTTTACTTCTATGCCCTTGTGAGCTCTAGTGCAAAAACATACTAATAAATAAACTATAAACATTCACTAACTGGTGCATGCATAATAGAGGGAATTAAATGGTAAGTTAGAATCATTAATGTCGAGCAGTGGAGGATAACATAACAAACTCCAGTGAATAAAGAAGTGAAGAAAAGAAGTTAGCAGTCGATAGGACACACACTGAGGAAACCTGCAAACAATATATCTTTTATGTTACCTATATATTAATTACTCTATCCTGACAGTTAATGTTGGGTATAAATGCTGAGAAATCTGGCCGTAACTAACCTTGTCTGGGTCAATGTGTTCTACAAGTCTTTCTAGCATGGGCATGAAACTGGGAGCCAAATGACAGTTCTGGAAGAAAACCCATTTGCCTCTTTCCATGGCTTCTCTCATCATGGCGTCAGCACGAGGTCCCTGGAAATAATTACAATATTAAAACAATGTTTTCCCGTAAACTATTTCCAAGCTGTCTCTCCGTTCGACCGACTTACATCGGTCGAACGGAGAGACAGCTTGGAAATAGAGTGGCAGAGCACATACCCAAATGGTTACATACACAGCTGAGTGATTCTTTTATGGTGTCAAGACCAGTCGAGAGGAAAGAACCCGCTTCTTCCATAGGACGTCATCTACTTAATTTCAGACACATAATTGACACAGACACTGCTTTCCGTGTGGTTTTTGAGAATCGCAGAAGCCATAACAATAAAAATTTAAAAAAAACCTTTTTTGTAAGCAGACGGAATTTGTTGTACATTTGAAGTTACCCTGGTAGTCAATGAAAGAGAGACAATGTATCGAAGAAACTATTCGCATTTCAGTTGAATTTCTTCAGTTTTGTGCTTTATTTTATGTCGATGTAACTCTGTAGTGACGCACCTGATGAGATACAGCGAAATATCCCTGGCAATAAATTGTGCAATGTATTGTTTGTATCCGCATTATTTAAATTACAATATTAAACAAAGAGTTAATAGCTAGAGAAATATCCACGTCAGAGTGCCTGCATTTAATAATGCATGATGCCATTCAGTAAGTTGGGGATGGGGGGAAAAGTTATCTAGACACATATTGTCTGCATATAGTTATTAATGAAATCAATCAAACAATTAAAAAAATCAAACACTTTTTCTGGAGAAAACCCATTTGCCTCTTTCCACGACTTCTCATCCTAGCGTTAGCAAGAGGTCCCTGTAAATAATTACAATTTTAAACAAAGAGTTGATGGTAGAGAAATATCCACGTCAGAGTGCCTGCATATTATACTGCATGGTGCCATTCAATAAGTTGAAAAAAAAAAATATATAGAGAAACAGATAGTCTACATATAACATAATATAACATAACATAACATAACCCTTGACCCATTAGGGTCTTAGAGGTTTATTGATGTAAGCACTAGCACATAAAACCCGCCATCTTTCTGCTTGAAAAATAAGTGTATGACAACTTAGTCCTCTCCATTTCTTGATGTTGTCATTTCCAGGTTCTTCTTTGTCCACCTCTTTTTCGACTACATATAGACATTCATGATTTCAATCAAAACAATTAAAGATATAAATGTATTCAAGTCATGTATTGTCTACATAAGGGAATGCAACTCCTGCTCCACTATGATTGTCATACTCTTCTTTCTTCTTAATTCCTTTCTTTCTTCTTCTTTCTCCTCCTCTTTCTTCTTCCTCCTCATCTTTCTTCTTCCTTCTACAACTGCTGTTGCTGCTGCTAATTCCTCTACTTTTTCTTCTTTCTTCCAGCACCTCATCCTCTCTTCTCTTCTTCCTTATTTTCTACCTCTGTTTTCTTTTTTGCTATTTTCCCAGACACAACTAATTTTGCATATACTGGTGTTTTCTCATTAACTGTATTGTTTTTTTTCCCTTATGGGCCCTGATGTGTGACCGTACTTCAGCAGACCTCAGAACTTCAACTTTTATTGTCTTGTCTGCCCATAACAAAATAAATTTAATAGTCTATCATAATTTAGAGTTGGCTCACCTCATAAACAATGAGGAGCCACTGTCTGAGGACCCATGTTTTTAAGTGTTCATGGAATGACACCTGATTCCAAGACTGACAATATCTTCTTCTTCTTCCTGTTCACTAGCTGTAAACTCCGTCGGAAAGTTATGTTTGTTAATCCTCTTATTTCAGAACTTAAGTTTGTGTGCACATCTCTTCTGCATATATGGCTTATCTGTATCAATACTGTTGGTTCCTCTCCTCTCAGGCAGATGCACTCCGACTTTGAAAGGAAACAATGATTTTGACTTTTAAATTTTTTTTTTGTTTTTTCAAGGGAGGCAGTGAGTCTAAGCCCCCCCTCCCCTCCCCCTTTTCCCCAGTGAGGCCCCGGAACTCACAAGAGAAACTGAGAACATAAATCAAATTTTTTTATACTGTTTCTTTCTCTTGTCCAATATCAGCTTTTTGCTGCTGAGTGTCACAGTTCAACCGGTCATAGGTAGCTAAGCTAGGTTGTGTTTTTTTTTTGCTTAGTAAACTGTGATGTTGTGAATTCTAAGGCTGTGAATGGCTCCTTTAGTCCATTTTCTTCCAGGTTCCCCCCCTCTGCCACTTGATGTTTCCATTTAAAAATTGTAAGCTCTTGCTGCCAGCATCATTGGGTTAATTCTCATCAGTGGGTGAACCATTTCAGTCTTTGTTGTTGATGAATTTAATAGATTGATTGTTGCAACAGTTTTTCTAAACCCTTCGTTTCTCATATGATCTCTTCTGCTTTTTGGTTACAGCCTTTCTCACACATCTCAAACATCTGGTTAGTTTCCTTTCAGTTCTTTAGTTAATGTCCAAGTCTGATACTGTAATGTGTAGTTGTAACAAAGACTGTATTTATATTTTGTCTTTTCTATCTCTGTTGGAATAGCTGCATGTTGCATGACTGGGTACAGTGTTTTTGAATTACAAAAACATTATTTTAATGCTAAATTTGTTAATTTATATTTTTCTCACCTGTCCTTGACCAAGAGAAATTGCAGTTAGCTTCTTTGCAAATCTCATTGTCTCTGCAAATTTGTAAAGGTCATTGGCAGGATCAGTACCTTGTGACAGCACAAATACCAGTGGGGTGGTTGGTGACGAATCTTTGTACACAAGACCCAGGTCAGAGGTTTGAGGTTCAATGAACCTTTGACCCATGTTTTCGGCAACATAATCCTGCATGGCATTGGTCACCTTGTCTGGACGCAAGGCCTTGAGGACAAGAATGGCCTGGAATTTATCCAGATTTTGTCCCCATTTTCCTGGCAACTTTTCCCTGGACAAAATGAAGAGAATGTATAAATATTAAAGTTAACTCTCTTCAATTTTCTAGTTTTATTCTTCTGTTAGATTAACCTATTCTAAGTTAAATTTTATTATTGAAACTCCTTTCAACCCAAAGCTGTATTTTAAATAAAATGCTATCTTAATAAAACCTTTTTGTTTTCAAAATAGAATAAAAGTGTTTAGTTTTCAATAAATTGTTCCAGTTATAAATTATTCTAAGACAGTCCCAGGAAGCTGTTAGAGCAGTGACTCTCAACCTTTCTAATGCCATGACCCTTTAATACAGTTCTCTTATGTTGTGGGGACCCCCAAACAATTATTTTCCTTTATAACTTCAATGAATATGTGTTTTCTGATGGTCTTAGGTGACCCTTGTGAAAGGGTTATTCGACACCCAAAAACAGGGTCATGACCGGCAGGTTGAGAACCGCTATGTTGGAAGATTTAATTGTTCAAACACATTTGCTCAAAAAAAGAAGCAGAGAAAAATCATGGCTTCATTTTGTACCTTTCTGAGCCTGTCAGTCTGAGTAAAACTAACAGTTCTAATGTCTACAAAGCTCATTGAATACCACAGGATATAAAGTATAAATACATCACCCATCTTGTGCCGATTGGTCTATAAAAATATAGGTCTAGCCCTATATGCCCTATACGTGTTAAGGCATGGAAAAGGGTCTTTTACTTACTTACTTACTAAAATATAAACGCAGGACAGGCAATTCTGGAGACCAATTAAAGCCTGCAATTTCTATAGAAAGATGGTACTTGAGGATGATGATGGTCAGAATGATGATGATAAGAATGATAACAATGATTTATGAGTTTGATAGATGTTACCTGTGTGGATCTGGGCTGTCAAAAATTCTCTCAAATTCAACAAGATGGTGTTTGAAATCTTCTGCAAATTTAGCAAAAGTAGGGAGTGCTGGAAGTGTGAGAATTTCACTCCAGGATCTTTCAGAAATCCACTGTGGATCTGGATTTGGCCAATCTTTGGGTCTGTGAGTACCTCCAGAAATAAGAATCCTCCATTCATTCTGTGAAGAGTACATTAAAACATTATAATGTAAATCATGTCTGAAAAGAAATAAAGCTCTCACTCTCTTGTCTCTCTGTCTCTGTCTGTCTGTCTGTCTGTCTGTCTGTCTGTCTGTCTGTCTGTCTCTCTCTCTCTCTCTCTCTCTCTCTCTCTCTCTCTCTCTCTCTCTCTCTCTCTCTGTCTCTCTTGCTGTGGTTATTTTAGATGAATATTTGAAGGTTTGTATTTGCCATCCATGCTTTTGTATTTTTAGTTTATACTCATACTAGGAGTTGTGATTTATGAACATAATATGCTTGACATAGAAAATACAACTGCTGTGTCAAGATGAGTGTTTGAGAAGCCTATGTAAGATGGACCTGCTTGCCCATTTTGTGACCCATTTGTAATAAAGTTTGTTTATTTTCCCTCTCCTTCACTTGCACTTCCGTAACTTTCCCCCCTCCCCACCACCAACCCTTTTGTGCTCTCTCTCTCTCTCTCTCTCTCTCTCTCTACCCCCCCTCTCTCTCTTTCTCCCTCTCTCTCTCTGTCTCCCTCAATCTCTCTCTCTCTCTCTCTCTCTCTCTCTCTCTCTCTCTCTCTCTCTCTTATGAATGTAAATTTATATTTTTCTTTGAATTTCAGATCCTGCAGAAAGTGCACAGGTCCTTGTTCTAGATGCACATCATTCTAAGAATTCATCTGTAATATTTAATTTCAAAATCTTTGATTTTCATTAGGGATTGCAAATAGTCAGTGGTTCTCAAGTGTATATTGCCACAGAAAAGTTGAATGATATAAAAATGTCTGCTTTTCTTGTTCAAAATATTTTTTTTTTCTAAATTATCAAAAGTTTTGTTTTTTAATTAAATAAGAAAATAAATTTTTTTTTTTTACATTTTGTGGCAAACTGGGTATCTTCTTCTGCCTTTCTATCCCCCAATGGAGCATAGGCCCTCAACCAACTCACGCCAAGTCATTCTATCTTTCGCCATTACATGAAGCTCTCCCCATGTCCTCCCCATCTTCCTTTCAGGCCTTCCTTTATGCCTATGCCCCTGTAGGTACCAATGCAAAAACATTTTAATTATGCTGTTCTCCTGTTTTCTCAGTCTGTGTCCTATCCAATGCCAGCATCTTTTCCTCACCACTTGGTCCACTGGAACCTGTTTAGTTCTCTCCTAAAGTTCTACATTAGTTATTCTATCATACCATTTAATTCCCTCTATTCTGCGCAGGCGCCAGTTAATGAATGTCTGTAATTTAGTAGTGATTGCCTTAGTTGTTCTCCATGTTTCCGCCCCATACAAAAGTACTGATTTGACATTAGAATTAACAAATTTTAGTTTTGTACTTCTTTTAATTTCTTTTGACCTCCACAAATTCCCTAGTGCTAGGAAAGCTCCTCTTGCCTTTTGTATTCTTATTTTAATATCTCTTTTAGTTCCTCCATTGTTATCTACAAACTGGGTATATGATGCAAATTCTATATTTTTATAAATGAATCAACACTTGGATACTTTCTTCAGGGTATGCTAGTGTATTAGTAAATTGACAGACAGACAGACTGGCTAGTTCCGCACTATTTGGGGGTGAAGTGATGTATGACAAACTAGAAGTTGTAAAGTCCCTTTGAGGATGAGTGAACAGTGTTGAGGCACAGATGGCTCATCACGGTCTGAGGAGAATGGTACTTAGAGGAGTGGCCTGGGGATCTGGCCGACTGTCAACACTTAAGGGAAAGGTGAGATAGATATACAGTCTGTTACAGTACCATTGGAATTGGAACTCTGCACTTGCTGCTGACGATGGGGACAGGTCACTTATGAGAATGTCCAGAGTGCTGTGATGTTTATTCTTAGCTAAACATTAAACAATTAAAAATTAAACACGTTATAGGTTATGTGATCACATTTACTTTGCAGAATATTTCCTGTTATCAATTTTGAGCCGTTTTGAACTTGAAGCCTATGCAACTTTTTAAAAAAATCCTCACTCACTCTGTGCCAGCTGCTGAAGATGAGGATGGAGTACTTATGGAAATGTCCCAAGTTCCCTGATGTCAGTTCTTAGCTTGCCTCAATTAAAATCTGCCCAGATGTGTGTTTAAACTCAAAACCAGCAGAACCGGCAATGATTTGTTTTTCTTCTTGTACAAAATATGTTTCAAATACTGGCCTAAATACAAACCACAAATGCTTGCTGTGGAGACAGGGCGACCAACAAAACCTGCCTTGAAATGGCTAATAAAATTAGAACATTATATACAACTATAATGAAGAGGCAGTCAGTGTTCTCTGGTTATGTGATGAGAAGAGAGACACTGAAGAACATCATGATGATTTGAAAGATCAACAGTAGAAGAGGCGGAGGCAAACCAAGAGAGATTGATTTGATTTGATTCAAGACCGACATCACAGCACTCGGGGCATTCCCATAAGCGCTCCATCCCCATCTTCAGCAGCCAGCGAAGAGTACTGATCCTTCTGTTCTGATCTTCCTCAGCATGCTTTCTGAGTCAGTTACAATCACGATGTGTGTGTGTGTGTGTCGTGTTCTCTAGCCAGCGGAAAGCTGCAGTGACCGCCTCCACCTCCATTCTTAAGCTGGATGTTGTGGTATTATATGCTAGGCTCTCCTGCACCAAACGTTAACCATTAACTTTTGCTAAGAAGCCCCAAGCACCTCCGTGGCACCTGCTGGCCAGTCTCTGCATTCCTGGCTCAGCGTGATTATGACTCTACACAAGTCTGACTGTTCAGGTGGCAGACCAAGAGAGATGATGCTTGATGACCAGATGTGATGGATGGTGGAATCAATCAATCAGATGCCGTCTCCACAGTGATGGTTGGCTGCAATGGATCTCCAACATGCCTTGTCTCCTTTCTTGGTTGTACACTCTCTCAGACTGCAGCCTGCCCATCTTTAGATGTTGTCCTCCCACTTCTATCATTGCCCACTTCTTGCTCTCTTCCCTTCAACCTTTCCCTCCAGTGTGGTTTATAAAAGCATGTTGTCTTTTAATGTGGCTAAAGTATTTCAATTGTCGCTTTTTTTAAATTTCACTTAGTTATTGTCTTTTCATTTGTAGTCTTTCAAGAACCTCTGTATTGGGCTGTTTTTGTTTCCATGAAATATGACCTATTATTCTGTATACCCACATCTCCAGAGACAGTTAGCTTTTCTAGTTGCTGTTCATTGTCCAAGTTTCTGCACCATATAGCAGGATTGGGTATACACAACATTTGACGATTCTCATTTTTAGTATATTGTTTATCTCTCTAGCTGTCAGTAATTTGCGCATCTTGGCTCTACATCAGCGGAACTGATTCAATATATCTAGGACGTAAATCTATAGAGAGATATGAGAGCCCAGGCCATTAGGCAGGGCACATGATGATGACGAATACATACCATATCAATGATTCCTTCATGCATCTGAATCCGCACACACAGCAGGAAGGCAAACAGTAGTTTGTGTTTCTCAAACAAACTGCGGCACACGTTGGAATACAGACTAAAGGTGAAGAATTTGTTAATGTTCTTGATCCGTTCAGGAATCTTATCTGAGGAAAGTAAATAAGTTATTGTTATAGATGATGAGTTTTTTTAAATTTCACACATGCCCCAAAAATGTAGATGGTATCATCATGTAGCAGGTCCTTTGCAGAACGTCGCTCTCATCACGATCTGCCTGAAAGAAACTCGATCTCTCGCCAGTTCTCCCGCCTCATGCACTTTCCCACTCAAGGAGTCACTTATATCCTGTGCCCATCTTTGTGTCGGTCAGCCCCTGCCCATCCTTCCTGGTACCATTCCTTCTGCTATAATTTTTTTCCAATCCGTCGTACAAAGCCAAGCTCCCATAACTTTAATTTTTGTAATATTCCCAGGAGCAGTCAACTATTTTACACATGTAAAAAATTAAAAAAAAAACACCAAATTAATTTATCACCAAAAAAACACAAATGCTATAGAGAGTAAGGAGAATCTTCTTTCTATTTCTTTGCATTCACCAGCTGTAAACTCTGACGCAAAGTTCTGGTTGTTCATCCACTTTTGGGGAATAATCCAAACAAACAAATGCGGCATAAAATCAACTGGCTTAAATCCCTTGTCGCCTGTAAACAAATTATAAGACAACACTTACTTGACCCGGTGACGGGGTCACCCAGTAACTATTGTAGCTAATGGGGGAAAAACCTACAAATTTCTAACATCACTTTTAAAAATAAGAAATCCCTTAAGAAACCCTAATATTTTTAGTGAATTTAGCCATTACTTGTCACACTGAACATTTGTACAGATGCAGTTACAGTGAATTCTGTTAGTGAGTTGTTTCACAAACATGTCTCTGTAGCGAGCTGGGAAGCAACTTTTATGGGGAAATTGTCCAACCCAAAAGGGTCAGTTTTGCAACTTCTTAGGGCCAAAATATTTTTATAACTGTTTTGCACAGTTAAATGGGGTGCAAGTTTTCACAAAATTATATTTACAATCAGGCATCTATAACTTTACATTATCCTCTTGTGGGATGCAATTTTTCATTATTTTGAAGCCCAACCCTGGCTCTTGCCAGGGGCTGCAATATAGCCCGGCCATAAATATGGTCTAATGGCTGAACGCGGTTTCCGGGACCTCTCCAAGCATGATCCTCATCCACATGGTGGCACTTTGTGTCATCAGGTGTTTATAGCTTGTGTGATGTCCTAATGGGGTAAAAGTACTACTACTACTAAATTGTTACCTGCTCTGTCAGCTTGAGAAATGCCTCCCAAGAAGATACTGATAAACCACTCCAGAGAATACTGATACATAGGGTCAATGTTGGCCATGTCTGCCACACAGAAGAACAGGATCTGAGTGTTGACAGCCACAGGGATGTACTGACTTCTGGTCCTGTCAATGTCTTTCTCTGTGTGTTCTGCCACAAGTACTTTAGCCTGCACAAATTACAGAAAGGGGTATGTTGTAACTGAAGATTTTTAAAAAAATTTATGAGTAATTAGACTGGATTGTTTACACACATTGAGTAATTGGATTGTTTACATATTTTGACAAGGCCAAAAATAACTATCTGAACATGTATTTACAACACAGATCTATCTATTTTAAAAATATTTTTAGTTACAAGTTTGAAGTTTGAACAACAGATCAACATCATGGCACACGGGTAGTAACCCATAAGTGCTCCGTTCTTCTTCTAACTCAAGTCTGAGTCTGAAGAAGCTCAGCACAGTGCACAGGCACTGTAGCACCGGTGAGGATCCTAAAATATTGTAGGTAGATTTTTAACTTTAATGTTGCCCAAGCAGCGCCGTTAGGTTACGCTTTTTGATTTCCAACTGTCAAGGGATTGTGGGCAACAATACACACGGGTGTCCGATCTGACTACCCAGAGACCAGGGGGAATTACTAGAAGTCCAAGTCCACATGAAAAAATCCCAGCTCTTACTGGGGATTGAACCCGGAACCTCTAGCACTCGAGGCGGACACCATGCCTCAAGACCACACAGCCTCCTGACTCTTTTAGTTACGACATATGCCAATACTACGTCTCATCCTCTTCCTGCATCACACATGACTCAGAGTTTCTACTGTTCAGGGATGTTTTAGATATTTATGTCAGTGACCTCTACTAATATACTGGTAAGTGAGATTGTGTTTTCTTGTTTGTATATTTGTGTTATGGGCTCTCTAGGTGTACCATTCATTTTGTGTGTGTTTGTATTGTGATAATGTGAGGCTTACTAGTTCTGCTGGGTGTCCCATTAGTTTCCATACAAAGGAACAATCAATATATTACCAACATCATTATTACAAGAAGCATAACTCTAGCTGTGCTTATTCACACTCTTCAGCAGTGGAGTCCCGAAAAAGCACAGCTGGGGTTGAGCTTCTTGTAATTGGTAATAGATTTATTTTTCCTATGTATGAAAAACTAAGGGACACCTAGTACTCCTCATTTTGATTGATATCTTTTTATAGTATCTCAGATAGAGAATTCGTTTTTTTTTTTCTTTAGCTTGATTCATGAATAAATTGATCAATCAATCAAGTACTGACATCACTCGGGACATTCCCACATGTGTTCTGTCCCCTTCTTCAGTAGCCAACAAAGAGTCAACATGCTAACAGTACCAGTTGTAATCTTATTAAAAGTCTACCTATGTGTTTCCCTCAGCATTGATTGTCTTCAACTATGGATTCAGCTTGATTTATCTCAGTACTATGTAAAATATTTTCTATAGTAAACGGTGTTAAAGGAGAAGATTGACTTCACCACTCCAGGCTGTACCCCTTAGGATCATTCTAGGCTGTGTAAATGTTTATAAAATTTAACTTATAAGGATCATTTTTTTTTCTCCAAGAATAACTGCTCATCTACCAAGAATGTTGAAGGTTGTTGAATGTTGAATTAAGAATCAACATCATAGCACTCAGGACATCCCCATAAGTGCTTTGTCCCCATCTTCTGTAGCAAACGAAGAGTTTCAATTCTGATGGCACCAGTAACTGTCTAATTGTATATTCATCTTGCCCTTCCATTGAGTGTTGAGCATCAGCCAGATCCCCTGGTAACTCTTCGCAGCCCCATTCTCCTCAGACCATAATGATCTATTTGCACTTCTGCACTGTTCACTCGCTCCCAAAGGGCCCTCACAACATCTAGCTTGTCATACATCAATTCATCACCAAGTGGTGCAGAACCGGCTTATCTACCAAGATCATTACACAAAGCATGAAATTCTGTAGTGATTAATGCTTAGTGAGGACTATCATCACAGCACTCTTACAGATCTATAGGTGATCCGATCTTCTTCTCAGTAGCTCCACAAGAATCAAATGACTGATCACACCCTTTATGTGTTGATTAACCACGTGCCTTGTGCCCTTGGTGAAATGTTCATGCTTCAGGTTGCAACCCCATGTCCACCAGCCTGGACAAAGATACAGTCCTGCTTGCTGTTGTGATCTTCCTTGAGATATGCAGCTCACAAGGCATTTGATATCATTCTTGTTCAGTGCTGGGCCTGTTGTGGTAACTTCCTAGTCTGCCAGATAATCTGCACGCTCATTGCCTTAAACACCTGCACTGCCCAAAACAAAGATACAGGTAAGGCGAGTTATTTGGATGCATTAATAAGAGAATCCATTCATGTCTGATGAAGCTGGCTTGGATTTTCATAAGCATATTCATTGATATTCAAGTCTATAGTGATAGCCTCATGAGATCTTTGAAACATCTGTATTTGAGAGCCAAAGGATGGAGCATAAAACAGAATCCACAACTGTTAGAGTAAAAGGCAAAGGGCTTAATCACTTCACCACAAAAACCTTGTATGCATCTGGCCAGATGCAGTGAAATATGCCACATATTAATTTGGGCAATATATTGTTTGTACCATCATTATAGCAGCGTCCGTGGCTTAGGCGTTGCCAGTCCGACTCGTAACCCAGCGTACTGCGATCGAAACCCACTGCTGGCTGGATGGATTTTTATCACAGTACGGGGCGTTCCAGTCAACCCAGCTTAAAATGGGTACCAGGATGGGCTGTCCTGGAACGTAATGCTGACCACATTACCCACCGAGTGCTGATGGTCTGTAAAAATATGGGCACTCTTCCCATATGCCCGATACACCTAAAGGCGTGGAAAGGGATCTTTACTTTACTTACCATCATTATTTTTTTTAAAGATATAATCTATAATAACTAGCTATTCAAATCTGCAACAAGTCAAATTTTTTCTTTTTTTTTATAAACCTGGTTCTCAGATTTACCCAGCAAAAAATGGGTATGATGTGAAGTCATGGGAAGTAAAGGTGGCTGGCGTGACGTTGACCACATCACCTACCAAGTGCCCATTGATTTATAAAATTTATCCTAAGCACTATTTACCTAGTATGCCTAAGGGCATTTAAAATGGATTTTTTTCATATCTACCCATGCTTTATGCACCATCAAGCACAAAGGGTTTTGAACTAGAACAATATAAAGATTTGTATTTTGTGATTGTTTCTTACACACTCTTAACAATCCTGACATTCCTACTTATAATTCACAACTTGACTGAACTTTAGGTTGAAATCACAAAAGGCATGAGAGAAAAAGGATGTTATTAAGACAGGAAGTCAATAAGTAAGTCACAAATGGTTACGTGATGTCAGGAAAATATAGCTAGTGGTTTCTACAGGTGTCATTAGGTGACAGCAACAACGAACTTTATGTCTCTATTCCTTAGGTGACGCTAGGTGTTGCATGTGCATTTGCAACACAGAAATAAAATTGCGACCGTACTTAAAGTTTGGGAGAACTGATAAAATGATGGGACAAGTGCATTAATGTGGGTGGAAATTAGGCTGAAAACAAAAACAAAAGAGCAGTGTTTGTTTAAAAATAAATGGTTTTCAAGTTGTTATCCTCTTTAGTTTTTTGTTTGTTTGTTGAAACAACCATTTGTGACTTGCTTATTGATTTCCCCCTAGTATTTCAAGAATATATTACAATTCAGGAGTATATAGCAATTCAAGAATATCAGGAATATATATCACATGAATAAATAACAATGCAGGAATTTATAACAGTTTAGGAATATTTAAAAATTCTGGAATATCTGACTTTTATGACTATATAACCATTCAGGAATATATTACAGTTCAGGAATATATACTAATTCAGGAATATGTTACAAATTCTGGAACATATAACAATTCAGGAATATATAACAATTCAGGAATACATTACACAATCTGGAATATATAACAATTCAGGAATATTTAATAATTTAGGAATATTTAACAATTAAGGACACATTACAAATTCTGGAATGTGTAACCATTCAGGAAAATATAACCATTCTGGAATATTTAACATTTCAGTAATATATAAAAATTCATGAATACATTACAAATTCTGGAATGTATAACAATTCAGGAATACATAACAAATTCTGGAATGTATAACAATTCAGGAATACATAACAAATTCTGGAATGTATAACAATTCAGGAATACATCACAATTAAGGAGTATGTAGTAAAGGACCCTCTAACCATGCCTTCAGGCATATCAGACATATAGGGATAGACCTATATTTGATAGACCAATCAGCACTTGCCAGCCACCTTTATTTCCCAGGACTTTACCTGCTACCTATTTAAGGCTGGGTCAGCATGGGAGCCAAGGTCATTATTTGTCTAATAAGTCAGGCAGAGCCAGGACCTAAACCCACAAAATTCCAATCTGCAGGCAAGTGTCTAGCCGCTACACCATGGCCGCTCCCCAGGAAAATATAACAATTCCTAAATATATAACAATTCATAAATATACAACAATTCATAAATATATAAAAATTCATAAATATGCCACAATTCATAAATATAAAACAATTCATAAATATATAATAATTCATTAATATATAAAAATTCATAAATATATAATAATTCCAAAATATATTATATCATAATTTGAAATATATAACAATTCAGGAATAATTAACTTGCCTTGATTTCGAGTGATTTACTTTTGGAATCAGCTAGAACCTGAATTAGATCAAGATCATCCACAGGGCTTCCTTCCGATGAGCTCAGACGAAGAAGGATGCGGTCTTCAATCTCCTTCAGCTCCTGCTTCATCTTAGCATTGCTGACAATCAGCTGGTTCTTGGCTTCCTCAAGATCAGGGCGCTCTTCAGCGACAACAATACCCAGAAGCTGGTCCTCTAGACCACTAGATGAGAAGTTCATGTAAAATCTTACATTCCTATGAGACTGAGATCAACAACAGATGTAATGAAGCAAACTAACCTAACTCTTTGAGTCCCAAGGAACGCATCATACGTTCATAGGTTCCTACCTAGAAGCCCAATCAACGCATGATGTGGTGATTTTATGACTCTCTTTACTACCACCTGGGCCTGTGATGCTAAACCCCCTGGGATTCAAAGAGTTATTAAACAAATGACATCAATACCTGGAAACAAATATGTATCAGTCAGCAGCCAGGCTTGATCAATGTGTATGTGCAAGTGTTAGCAGGTAACGATTACAATGGAAATGGGATCAGTTAATGTTTACTCCTCGTCACTTTACTGTTGAGAGTTGTACATTAACAGCTAACATCATATTCTAGTAACTAGTAGCTTCCACATGATACAGTTGCTGCACGAGTGGCATAAGCATGCAGTAAGTATTCTTTCCACATGTTCCAGACATCAACCGAGTGTGGCATATTTGTAATAAATAGTAAAAAGGTAATAGTAAATAAATAGTAAAATAATACATTTTTCTTTGGCAAATTGAAAGTGTAAGAGACGATTACAGCCATAACATGCAGACCTCATCTATACTGCTAATACCAGACTTTGACAATGAGGGATTAGGAGAAAAGAAATATTACAACTAAGATTGCATTTTTGGGAAAAGCACTGGACATACAAAGAAGAGAGATAAGAAATGAAGGGATCTAAAAGAAAATGGAAGTAATCTGGTACTAATCTTCATGAGGCTGAAATGACAGAGAGCCATATTAATCAGAAAAAAAATCTGGCTACTTCTGAAAACTGAGGCAGGACATTGTCTTGGCAGACAACTACACTAATCTCTACTCCATTGTGGCATATAGTACCCAGTACTATCAACAAATGTTGTATAGAAAATAACACTACTGACCTTACAGCACATTGATACCAGTACTGAGCTACCAATGCCAAACATGGACATTATCTAAAGCCCATATACACTGAAACACCTCCTATGTGATGAAATGCCTGAGAAAAGCCGTCAACCTAACCATCCGAGATTAAGTAAATAACAACACCTTGTACTAGATTCATACCAGATTGATAAACAGCAGATCAAGTAGTTTGGCCATCTTGTTAGAATGAAGCAACATCAGATACCATCACAGGCACAACTCAGAAGATCAGGAGCAAGAGGATGGCCTCGAAAAATATGGATCAACAACATTAAAGACACTTTACGCCTTCATGGTAAAACAATAGCTGGTGTTGACCAATTGACACTAGATCACAAATTATTCCTACCAATGACACTTTATAGCAGAAGTGGTTTATGATGATGATGATAATGATTACTGACCTTGGAGAGAGAGTAAAGTTAACAAGAGTAACCTTGGTCGACACTTCTGGTGTGTAATGTGGGTTCGGCAATTTTGTTGTCATGTAGAACTTGAAATCTTCATGGTAGGGGATGATGGAGTCTCCAAGCTTGATCACTGTACTGCCCTGTAGCTTGTATGTCTGTTGCCATTAAAGTAGAATTGCATCATTATTATCATTATCTGTGTGGGTTCCATGAAGAAAAATAAAGAATAGAGCAAACCCCCTCCCCCCAAAAAGAATTTCATAAAATTCGACTAAATAGGGGCATTTCCTTTGAAGTCAGAGTGCTTCTGCCTGAGAGGTAAGAAACCAACAGTTTGTATACAAATAAGCAAGCTCTGTAAAAAAGATGTGCATGCAAAACTCATATTCTGAAACATATAATATATATATATATACTAGCTGTACCCGGCCACGTTGCTGTGGCGTAATTTGAGATAGTCTTTAATCCCCACCCCACCCCCCCCCCACCCCACTACTAAATCCACCTACTACCCTCTCCCTCATCAAAGGTTTTTAGAAAAGAAAGACAATGGAAATCGCACATGTCTAATGAAGTTAATGTCGCAGTCAATGTCTGCGCCGACGTCGAAATAGTCCTTGATTGCCCCACCCCACCCCCCCCCCCCCCAACCCCCCGCCATCGAAGGTTGTTTGGAAAAAAAAACAGAAAATAGAAATCGTGTTTAAATGGTTATTGTGGCAAATATAGAGATAGTCTTGTTTGCGGTACCTCGACCTACTCTATGTATTAAGTCGTTGGCTGCACGTAACTCGCCGGCGAATGGCGGTAGCCTTGCGTTCTGACTACGGCGGCGCATGCGCAATTACTAACGTGGCTATAATTAGAAATCACTATAGTTATAAATATTAGTTGCAAATATTTTGGCATAAATTGTGGTCACCTATCTCTAACAGTGACAGGTTGAATTTCAAACCACGATGGTTCAAAATCCGGTATCAAAACAAACATATCTTGAAAATTTCAGCTAAATCGGTTCAGTAGTTTCCGAGTTTATAGGTTAGGATGTATAATTTCACTTGCCAACAGAAGAACGCCATAACCTTACCGGCGGTCTTCACATGAGAGCACTATGGTGTAACAGCCCAACCACAACTATTACTGCTGCTGCTACTTTAAGTGGGTAAAGCAGTTACTGTGATTTAAAGCTCTCTCAGTTAATAGTTTGCACCCCCCCCCCCTCCCCCCAAATTCACCGACAACTCTTTCCCTCATTGAAGTAGTTGGGAGAAAACAAAAAAAAACACTTGAAAAGCAAACGAACACAGGAAAAAAACACCATAATTAGGAAATGAACGCCATTGTAAACAGCACAGCTTAAAATTCCAACACAAATGAAATAACTAAATCTAAATGAAAATAAATGAAAATCTTTAAAATTTCAGCGTAACCATGCAATCGGAAAGTTTAACAATGTAATCATAAGTATGCGAAATGGTCAAATTTAATTATCAAATGGTTTACCCATTTACTTGTGTTTTTTTTTTTTTTTTATATTAAGGCAACATGGCTAGTGCTGTCACCACGACAGAGCAGATGAGGATATTATTTTAGTCTGGGGTAAAAAAAAAAATTTAACGACTGCGGATTCGAACCCAGGTCTACCGCACATGAACCCAGTGTTCTAACCATTCGACCAAGCAGCCACTTAATCGGAACAACGAAAAGAGAACTCAACTATTAGACATGTGAGTCCCTACTTCTGTGTCGCGATTAAAACACAATTCAAAACCGCAGGCAATTGTTTTCTAGTAGACAGATACTCCAGATATATTAATGAAATAGAAATCGCACGTGTCTAACACGGTTAATGAAGTTAATGTCGCAGTCACTGTCTGCGCCGACGTCGAGATAGTCCTTGATTGCCCCCCCCCCCCCCCCCCCCCCCATCGAAGGTTGTTTGAAAAAAAAAAACAGAAAATAGAAATCGTGTTTAATATGGTTATTGTGGCAAATATAGAGATAGTCTTGTTTGCTGTACCACGACCTACTCTATGTATTAGTATTAGAGAAGGCATTGGCTGCACGTAACTCGCCGGCGAATGGTAAATACGGCGCATGCGCAATTACTAACGTGGCTATAATTAGAAATCACTAAAGTTATAAATATTAGTTGCGTATATTTTATCATTAATTGTCGTCACCTATCTCTAACAGTGACAGGTTGAATTTCAAACCACGACAGTTCAAAATCCGGTATCACAACAAACATATCCTGAAAATTTCAGCTAAATCGGTTCAGTAGTTTCCGAGTCTATAGGGGTAAAACAAACACACAAACATTGATTTTTATATATATATATATATATATATATATATATATATATATATATATATATATATATATATATATATATATATATATATATATATATATATATATATATATATATATATCTATAGGGTGTATGTTTAATGACTGCAGACTTTTTGAAATCAATTATTTGTGCTCAGTAATTAAAGTTGTGTATTACATCACGTTTCAAATGCCATTTAGTCATTAGTTTAGAATATAGCTGTTACATATCAGTGTTTTATTCATTGGGCTTAACTATAATGGTTTAAACTAGCGAAGAAAGAGTATTTTTGGTTGAGCATGTGTTCCTCAACAGTGGCAGGTATTCTAATTTGGTTGTTCAGCAATTTATGATGTCACTTCCTGATACTCAAGTTTCTCATCTTAATACTGTTAGCAATTTTACCAGCAGAATCAGTTATGAATAGAGCTCTAATGTGGAAAACAGCACCCAAAATAAGACACACAATAACAGTACATGCTGCATTAACTCCACAGACGGTGATTATAAAAATAATAACTGCAACATTTTCAAAAAATACAAAATATAGTCATTAAAAATACACACTAAATAAACAAAAATTAAAAGAAAATTATCATCATGTGTCATGCTCATTTGTCTGATAAGATAAGAATACGCAGTAATGGTTTGTCATCTCAATTCATCATGAGAGTTTTCATTAGGTCTGTGTTCTTGACTCGCATATGCAATGTGAACAAACTGTCAAGTTATTTATCTTAGTGTTTTCTTCTTGCTCTTTTCCCAGCAAGTTTTTGAACTATCGCTAAGTTTTCAAATGTGTTTTTCCTTGTAGCATGCCTAAAAATATTTGTATGCATTATAGGCAATAACTAAAACAAGGTTTGTGAAGATGATGATGATAGTGATGACAATAATTATAAGGTGATATTAGGTAATCAGGTAATTGCAGTCCCAACTTCATAGGTCACCCCATAGCTGGTCCATTTCTGTGCCATTAAAAAACACACACACAACGTCCATCACTGTCCTTTGTGGGGCAAAAATGGATACAGACTGCAGTCTTGAAAAATCCAACAGCATACACATGCATTAGATTCATAAGGCAGCAGTCAGAAATGCAAACACAAACAGTCTGAAACTAAAATGTAATGATATGATATTGATGGTGATGGTGGTGTTGTACTGATTATAGTAATGGTGGTGATGATGATGATAATCATGATGATGATGATGATGGTGATTATGATGGTGATGTGATGATGATGGTGATGGTGATTATGATGATGATGTGATGATGATGAATATGATGTTGGTGATGGTGATGATGATAATGGCGATGATGATGATGATAGTGATGTGATGATGATGAATATGATGTTGGTGATAGTGATGATGATGGTGATGTGATGAAGATGGGATGATGATGGTGGTGGTGATGTGATGATGATGAAAATTATGATGGTGATGGTGATGATGATGATGATGATGATGATGATGATGGTAATGTGATGATGATGAATATGATGATGGTGATGATGATGATGGTAATGGTGGTGATGGTGATGATGGTGATGATGATGATAATTATGGTGATAATGATGGCGATGATGAAAATGGTGATGGTAATGATGCTGATTATGATGATGAGGATGGTGGTGGTGGTGGTGATGATGATGATGATGATGGTGATGATGATAATGATGATGGTAGTAGTGGTGATGATGATGGTGGTGATGATGATGATGATGATGATGATGATAATGATAATGACCATGATTACCTGTCTCAACAAAATTGGTTCCAGAGCTGGGTCCAGTTCAACCCCAATATTCTCCAGCAAACATGGCTTGCCAAACCGTACAGCATTCTCTAAACTGCGGAGGAAATCTTTGTCTGACAGTTTGATGACATCCAGCCCTGCATCTCTTTCCTAGGGTTAATCAAAATATTTAATGACACACAAAGGAAACAAACTGTTCAAGAAGAAGAATAGAAACAGGAAGTAAATTTAAATTTGAAAGCAAAGCTTTGTTTTTAAAACTTTTCAACTGAAAATTGGACCCTTATCATATTCTTTCTTGTTCACTTTTGCTCAACTTTACAAGTCAATGAGTCTTTGTGGTGAAGTGGTTAAGCTTTTTGCCTCTTGCCTTGTAAAGCACTGGCATCATTTTTTAACTCTGTCCTTTGATTTATATTTAATGGAGGTTGTTTTGGAGATCCCTGAGAGTTAATACTGAAGCTATAGAGAACTGTGCTTTGTGATGCACTCTGCAGGTAATCAATCACTTTACAGAGATTGACCAAGATAGGTAGGTTGAAAAATTGTTAATGCTTACTTACTTACTTAGTCACTCCTCTTCTACCTTGGGGTGTAGAGGTTCGCCAGAGAAATCGCCAGACGTCTCTATCAGCAGTTTTCTTTCTGGTTTTGTTCCATTCCAGTCCTCTGTCAGTTAGGGACTGTCGGATGTTGTCTTCCCAGGGGACCCTAGGTCCCCCTGGAGGTCTAGTTCCCTGGTTCTTAGCCTTCCATGGTGGCCGATTTTCTCCCATTCTGCATACATGTCCAAACCATCGTAACTGTGACTGATCCACTCGGGTGTGTAAGGGCTGAGTATCAAGATCTTGACGTATTGTCTGATTGCGGACTGTCCCTTCTTGTCACTTGGACCACCTTTCTTAGATATCTCATTTCTGAGGCCTGAAGCTGGCTTCTGTGAGCTGTTGTCATTGCCCATGACTCACACCCGTATGTCAGGACTGGTACATAGAGCGGTACACAGCCATTTTCGTCCTCTTGCCAATTTCTCTTTTGCTAAGAAACTCACGGTTTATGGCCTTGAAGATTTTTCCAGTGGCTGCTTTTCATGTAGCCAGCTCAGTTCTAATGCCCCTGTTTCAATCTGATACCAATCCAAGTTATGTGAATTAGCTGACCTGCTCCAATGCACATTGTATTTTTGTTTAATACACTGTTTTAAATTAAACACAGTCTCTTAAAATAAATTGTATGTGGCGTTTTTCTCTCTGGGCCAATGTTCAATCAACATTTGTCAAAGCGTATGGCCATTTTTCAGGCTGTGTTTTAGCTGTCTGTTCACATGTGCACATATGATGATGACACCAATTATAGTAGTAGTAGCTCACGGCAATTTCAATTAATTTCATTAATCAAATATGCTGAGCAAATAGTCTTAGCCCCACATTTTATAGATCAACTGGCAACTGGTAGGTGATATGGTTAGTAGCAGATTGTCTACCATATATTTCCCAAGACACTTTCTAGTCCCAGTGCCCAGTGTTTAAATAAGTCAACATGGATCTCAAGTCAAAATATGAGTCAACCTGGTGCTCAGATCAATTTTTAAAATCTGACTCAAAGTGGATTTGATCTTGTGACCCCTGGGTCGTCAATCATTCTTGTCACTACATTAACATGGCTCTTCATCTGACAATAATAGCAATAATTTTTGCCACAGGCAAGGTATCTATATTAATAAAAATGTTAATTTTCCGATGATGTAAGCTAAAATCTCGGAAACTACTGAACCGATTGCTTTCAAATTTGCACACAACGTTGCCTTTGACTCCAAGTGTGATTTTTTGTCAGAAAATCACACAAACCACGAACAACGTAGCTCCAGCAACGGTCAAATCATTTTTTTGTTTCGTTGCAGGCCAGGATTTGTTTTTATGTGATCGGCCATATTTGACTGCTGAGCTTTTATTGAACTTTGCATGATTATATAATTTCATTTCCACTATTTGCTTGAGTGTTTGGTAGCGTAGTTGTTAACTATTCTACCTATCATGCAGGTGACTCGCGTTCGATTCCCCGCTATGTGATATCATTTTTTTTTAGCCCTCAACTGGGCGGCTGGCACGTTGTGTTGTGGTTTATGGCTAAGCTGGGATATCTACGCCTTTTTGGTTTTGGGGTTTACAGCTAGCCTGTGACAGCGGCGGCGTGATGCTCAATGGTCATGTCACGGGTAATCTTCATTCACCCTTGAGAGGGCCGTTTGCACGTTGTGTTGCGGTATATAGTTAGGCTGCGATATCTGACCTAAACTCTTCAGTCGTTGGTTGTAAAGTTGTAAGTATGTCATCCTTCACTCGGGTGACTGGTGTTCGATTCCCTGCTAGGTGATAATTGTTCTTTATCCCCTAAAAGGTTGGTTGCCACGTTGTATTGTGGTTTACAGCTAGGCTGTGATATCTGCGCCTTTCGCCCAAAGACATCCGATTTCAGTTAAGTCCTAATTAGCCTTCCCGCGACGCTTCTCAATCAAAAACTATTCGGCAATGACAGAAGCTGTTAACTAAGACCGCTTACAGTCCAGTTTAGTTTGGGTGGACACGGATTCCAAGGTCAGTTAAAAATCGTTCCCTTGGAGAGGGAGAGATGACGGGTGCAGGGTATTTTTCTCCCCTATTTTCACTGTGGGTTCCATCACTGGTTACGTGATGAAGTTGTTTTTTTTCCTATGTCCGGGGCAAAATCAAACTAAATAGTCCGCGGCGACAGCATGCAGCGCTAACTCCTCTTTTCTACACCGACCTACACAGACTGTAGTGACAGTTTTTGTTGTTGTTGTTGTGATGGTGGTGGTGGTTGTGGTTGCAGTAGTACTGGTACTGAATGGGTGATGTGGTAGCTGTTACACTGGCTACATTTACTTCTCTGTACAAGTTAATGCTACCTATTTAAGTCTAGGTAGACACGGATGCAAAGCTCAATTTAATTACAATATTTTGTTACACAGTGACTTTATCATCCTTCGGAGAAGATTATATGATTGGGGGGGGGGGGGGGGGGGGGGGGTTAATGCCAGACACAGTTAGCTGGGAGAGCTTAAAATATTATTTTAAATTTCTCATTTCTTAACTATTTCATTTTAATAATTTCGCCATGGATGATTTTTCAGTCCTTCGGAGAGGGAGATATGATTTCACCAGGTGATGATTTTTTTCAATTTTAGGGAGAGAGAGATGTGAGTGGGGGACCAGGAGGGAGGGGAAAGGGGGGGGGGAATGCCAGACACCGTTAGCTGAGAGAGCTTAAAATATTGTTTTAATGTTCTCATTTCTTAACTATTTCTATTTTAATAATTTTGCCAGGTGATGATTTTTCAATCCAATAGTAGTTAATATTAATCTTATACTGATGACATTACTTTCTATAAAATACACCACTTTCTTTACAACTCATTGAGAGAGAGAGAGAGAGAGAGAGAGAGAGAGAGAGAGAGAGAGAGAGAGAGAGAGAGAGAGAGAGAGAGAGAGAGAGAGTGATGAGAGATATAGAGATAGACAGACAGAGAGGGAGAACAAACAAGACATGCATTAGGCAAAAAACTAGTGTGTTCAGAGGCCTGCCGCTCTGAAGGTCATAAGTTGGTTTCCCAGCAGCACCGTTAGGTTCACAAGTGCAATTTTTATGAAGAATCCTGGGAATCATTGTGGGAGCTATGGAAGTCATACTCTGTGTGATGTTCTCGGCAGGCAACTAGCTGTTCTGCGGAGAGACTAAGCCATATGGGATAAAACCTGGTGCAATGAAGTCTATCCTCTCATCTTTACCTGAAATCATACTGTACTAGAAAGGAAAAGCCCTAAGTACCAAGAAAAAACAATAGTTCGTTAGGCAGGGACTAGAAACAGAAATATTCTAGCCCAGGCAAGAAATCTTCTGTGTACAGTCTAGATCAGCCAAGCAACAAATACTAAACTAGGGACACTAACCACAAGTCCTAATTTGAACCAAAACAACTGGAACTATGATTACGACTTTGAACATCGTTTATTTCACTTAACACAGAATCAGTGTGACCACAAATAACAACATTAACACCAACCAAGGTGCTTGACCAGAATCTAAAGTGCTAATCATCTCCAGCTAACAAGGAAATATGATAATGACACCTTACCCCCAGCGAGATTACCTCAACAATGGCAAAAAACCAAAACATATTTAACATGTACGTTAAGCTTCAATATGCCACCAGACCAACAAATCCCTTATAGCGACCTGCCATCCTAGCAAGAATACACAATGGAAATCAACTCTAACACCACCTAAACAAATGAAACGTACCATTACCGCGAACACGAGCCAGTCTAGCGTCACTCGGCTGGTCCAATCAGACATACCTGTGCGTTGAGACTTAGTGCAGTCAAACAATGGCAGACAGGGTGTCTGACCATACTGACCACAGAGCAACAGCCAAATAGGCCACTAAAAGGCTAAGCAAGGTCTTTTATTAACTGATGGCTGGCCAGGTTTCTTTACGTTACCATCTAAAACTAATAGCTGTTCCTGTGGCCTCTTGGTCATTTTTAAATCAGACTAAATCAAGGTATCGGCCAAACTAACCAAAATCATCAAGCGTCTTTAGCGTTCTGCAGCCTATTGCAATACAATGGTACTTATCAAAAACTCACCATATTCTTGATCCACTTATTAGCTTGTCCCTGTGGGTCAATGAAAAGTGACCACCTGCGAGAAAACTCAACTATGACACCATTTTCCACTGACAGGTTGTCTTTTGGCAACCCAGCAATCTGCCAACTTCGAATCTTCACAGGGTTGCTCATTGAGCCGATTAATGATGGTTCTTCTGTTCGTGGAACTTTGTGTCTGTCCAAGTTACTAATCCAGTCAGTGACCATTTCTTGTCTGTACTCACCCTAAGAGTGGTGGATAAAAAGTATTTAGAATTTCAAGTCAAATTTGTATAAAAATCTGCTTAAAATTATATGAACTAGAGCTAGACTACTTTAAAAAAAATAATAATATGTGTTGTTATGTTGCTGTGTTCATTGTTTGGTTACTATGTGATGTTCCCCATGTGTGTTCCAGGGCCCTATTATAGGGAAAACAAGAATAGGCCCACTGCCTACCCAAAAGCATGTCATAAGAGTTGACTAATTGGAAGCTTCCTTTGAAGTCGGAGTGCATCTGCCTGTGAGGCAAGAAACCAGCAGTCTATATACAAATAAATCAGATCTGTAAAACAGATGCACACACAATACTCAGGTTCTGGAACAGGACTGCAATCCAGAAGTGCCAGAGTTTACAGCGGGTGAACGCATAGAAGAAGAACTATGTGATGTTTTTAGATCACTACGCCAATTATTTAGTCATTATGTATTGTTTGGTGGCCTCTGTGGTTTAGGCATTGTTAACACGCTTTGTAATGCCGGGGTGTCGGATTTGATCCCAGCTGCTGACAATTTTTCGCCTTTCATTAGTTTGGACAGTGGTATCGATAGCTGACCATTCAGAAGTCATGGCCAACTACTGAGCATAGTATTTGCCTCCAAAAACGACAGCAGCCCAAAAACAATGCTGGGGTTGGTTTTGCAACGTCCTGTAAAGGATACGCAATTTTAATTTGCATGTGTTGTTTAATTTCAGGTGTCCGCTGTTTATTCACTACATATTTTTAGGTCACTATGTCCATTGTTTAGTCATTATGTGTTGTTAGGTCAAAATGTTCACTGTTTGTTAATCACGTGTTGTTAGGTCACTATGTCCATTGTTTAGTCATTATGTGTTGTTAGGTCAAAAATGTCTATTGTTTATTCACTATGTTTTGTTAGGTCACTATGTCCATTGTTTAGTTATTATGTGTTGTTAGGTCAAAATGTTCATTGTTTGTTAATCACGTGTTGTTAGGTCACTATGTCCATTGTTTAGTCATCACATATACTGTTAGGTCACTATGTCAATTGCTTAGTCATTATGTGTTTTTAAGTACTAGGCTCTTTGTTTAATTATTATGTGTTTTGTAAAGTCATTATGTTCAGTTTAACCACTATTATGTCAGGTCACAATGCTCATTATTTAGTTTCTATGTCCTTCTAGTAAAGTTTGTCTCCTTGCTAGTATACTAGATGTAGATAAAGACTTCCTTCCTTTACCATCCTCCCATTCACCTGGATTATGTATGCTCACTCAGACTGCACCCCACAAATCACTGACCCATCCATTGTTTAATCATTATGCGTTTTTATTAAGTAATTATGTTTATTGTTTAACCGCTATATGTCAGGTCACTATAATCATTATTTAGTTTCTATATCCTTCTAGTGAAATTTGTCTTATTGCTAATATACTAGATGTAGTTGAACTGAATACCTGACTTTCTTCCTTTACCATCCTCCCATTCACCTGGACTATGTATGCCCACTCAGACTGCACTCCATCAAATCACTGACCCACTTGTGTAGATGATGACCGCATCTGGCTGAGTGTGCTTGTGGATGAGGGCCCTTATTTCAGCATCAGCTGCTGTTTGCCTCCATTCTCTGCAATACCTGCCCAGGGTGAGTATTACCTCAGTGTGCACTTCAATGAGGCAGACATCATAACCTCTAAATCATTTGGCCTCTTAAGAGGTATATATAGCATTGGTTTCAGTGGCCTATATCCAATTTTGAGGTCCGATGTGTGCGTGCGTATGTGTGTTGGGGGAGGGGAGAGGGGGGGGGGGGGGGGGGGGGGGGGTAGGCTCACTGCCCTCTTAACAAGCAGGTCATAAAAGCCAACTAATTATAGGTCTGCAGATATCACAGCCTAGCTGTAAACCACAATGTGCCAACTACCATATTAAGGGCAAATACAAAAGAAGAAGAAGTGACCTATCAGTAACATGCGACTTAACATAAATAATCAATGATGATTTCAACTCCACAAGAATAAGACTAAATGAGCCTGATGACGAGTTTTGATGATGGACAATACTCACAGTAAAGGGCCCTAGGTAAGCAATGCAAGCAGACGAAACAAGTATATCCCCAACAAAGTTGTCAATGATCTTCTCTAGAGTCTCCACAGATTCCTTCCATCTGTCTTTTTCATCAGCCAGTCCTCCAATAAGCTAAAAAAAAAAAAATATATATATAATATAGCACATACAGAACTTTAAACCTTAGAATAAGCAGTAATCATGAAGGGAATGGAAATAATGGAGAAAATGTTGTAGACAGGTTGAAAGTTGAGCATGTGACAAGTTTATCTCCAACAAAGTTAATGATCTTTTCTAGAGTCTCCACAGATTTTTTCTATCTGTCTTTTTTCATCAGCCAATCCTCCAAAAAGCTATGTAATAATATGTAATAAAATATAAAGTAGCACATAAAGAATTTCAAAACTTTGAAACAAACAGTAATGAGGAAGGGAATGGGAATAATTGAGAAAATATTGTAGCCAGGTTAAAAGTTGAGCACGTGACAATAAGTACATTAAATACATGCACGTGTAACAATGGTTCTGAAATCCCACGCTGTAACTGCAGGAAACTCCCTATACCACAGTGTAGCATTATCCTCTAGGAAGATGGGAAGATGGCAACTACTATATACTATAAACATTATATTTTGGTTAGGTCATTTAGAAAGCAAAAGGAAAACTTCTTCTTCTTCTTTAGTCATCTCACTGATTCCAGGTTGTAGAACAATGTCATGGTTTTCTTTATTTGTATTGCACTTCTCGGCTGGCTTAGGTGATGGATTTGTTCATCTTTTTGCAGGTTTTGGCTACATCATTTATCCATCTCTTTCTTGGTCTTTCTCTTCCCTTTCTTCCTCCCAGATGCTGTAAAAAGTCTCATATGCAGTCTTGTCTGGCTGCATTCTCACCTTTTCATTCTTTGTTTGCAAATACTATCCTGACATAGTCTTATTCCAATTTTTTTCTCTAATGCTGGTATTCGTAACCCTGTTATTTGTAACCCTGTAACTACTAACGTAAAATAACTAGTTAAAAACATTTTTGTGCCAGGACATGTGCCATGGAAACGCACAAGCTGATATGCTTGCAGGTAAGGCTACTGTGAAAGCTGGACAAGCCATGGACTAGGCTGATATACTGAATGTACTAAGAGAGTTAAGACGTTTGCATGAACCAACTGAGAACTGTGAATCTGCAACCATGGTCAGACTACAAGAACAGCAACTTAAACAGGGTGTCACCAAACTAAAATACTACACAGGTAGCCTAAGAAGAAGAAGAAACCAACACAGGACTGGTGTCACCAGCCACTACACACTGTGGGATTTAGTGAGGAGGGAACCCAAACGCTTATGGACTAAGTGGTTCAATGTGCAATGAGGATAATCTGTTGACTAATTAGCTATCTAGTTAAAATCACAAACAGCCAAAAATGCTGGAGTTGGCTAGCAATGTCTTGTAAAGTACACGTAACTAAAAAATTGTTTAATGTATTTTATTTAGGTTTAGAATTGGCTATGGCAGATATGACTTGTTTTTTCTAGCTCATGAGGAATTGTTAAAGTGTACACCACACACATATGCCTGCCTTGTATTCAATCCTCATCTGAAAACGATAATGTCAGAGACTGGTGATGATGACAATAATTATGATGACCACGATGATCATGTTGATGATGCTGATGATGAGGGGGAAGGAGGAGAAATTTGCTGCAAATCCTTTACCTTGTCAGCTCTGTTAAGCCTGGCCTCACATTCCTTGCATTTGTTGTCCAGTTCATCCTTCTTCTGGACACAGTCATTGTACTTGGCCTGCAGAGTAGCAATGCCTTCCTCCACTTGTTGCAGCTGCAGTTTTGCAGCATCCAAAATTCTCTGAGTCTCTGCAAGTTCTTCTTTTGCTATTCTCAGCTTCTCCCTTTTGGGTGCCACAGCTTTAGCTACGAAGTGGTATTTATACATGGCTTGCGTCCACTGACATATGGATGTGCAGGCTTTGGAAACCTGTCAAAAGGATCATGCATGGAGAAAAAAATAAGATACTGAACACAACATTCAGTCAGTGCTAATTAATTTATATTATATGGGCCTAGTGCTCTATTTTTAATAATGCATTCCAAAGAAATGAAGAGCAGTAGTAATATAAATAGTAGTTTTTGTCATAGTAGCTGTAGCTGTAGGGGTGATGGTGGTGGTAGTAGTAGTGGGGTTATAGTAGGAGTAGGTAGCAGTGGAGCTTTGAAGGTCTACTACAAAGGTAATAGCAGTAGGAGGAGTAATAAACTGTGGCAGTGGTTGTCACAGCAGTAGCAACAGCAGCATCAGTAGTAGTAGAAGTAGTAAGAATATTTGTAAAAGAAGTAAAAGTATTAGGAGTAGCAGCAACAGAAGCAGCAGCATCAGTAGTAATAGGCAACAGTAGTAGTAACAGTAGTAGTAGTAGTAGTAGTAGTAACATCAGCAGTAGGATGGTAATAGGAGTAGGCAGTAGGAAGAGAAGGAGTAGTAAGAGTTGTAATAATAGCAGTAATGGTAGTAGCAGTATTAATTGTAGTAGTAGTAGTAGCAGCAGCAGCAGCAGTTTACACATAAATAATATATTATTTAACCTTTAGGGTTATAATTGAGATATATGGTGTCCATACTAGCCACTGATTGCCATTCTTGCAACCCGGGTTCGATTTCTTGGCGGCGCAGGTTTTCCTTTGGGACCAACTTAGCTCAGTCAATAGGAGACTCGCTTTCAAATCCAGCTGCAACTCCCTGCAGCCCACGGCTGGTGTTCAAAACTGGACGGTTCCTGGGGTTCACCCAGCCTCTAGGAAATGGGTACCAGAGTTACCACTCTAGGGTAAATAGAGAAACATCGCTGTAGCTACAGAGTTTCGTGCGGACAGCAACACAGGCGGACAGTTTCTTATCAGCTGTCCGTACTGGTGGCAGAGTACTTATGCTTTATAACCATGTGCAATGACGCTGGTTCACATCTCCTGACTTTACCTTTTAACTTTATATCATTTATTAATTTGCTTTTAGTTTTGGTGTCATTTATTTTTTAATTATTTGGCATTTTACCTGTTTTCATCATCCGGGTTATCTTTGGGACAACAGAAGGCATGTAATGATTATTTCAATAATATAGGTACCTTATGCATTATAAAAACAGATTCCTATTATTAAACTTATGTCCTTTATAAAGTTTCAGAAAATCAAAGCAATATTTTACCATCTTCTTCTGCGTTTTTCTGAAGATGCAACTGTGTTGTGCCTGTTTACAGCATGGCTACAGTATTGGTACCTTCTGCAGGCATATGTTGACTGGCTTCACATTCCCAGATTCACTTATTTGTTTCATTTTTTTTTTCAATGTCACTGTAGTATGCACATGACCAGTTACAGCGAAATATGCCAGACAATTAACTGTGCAATCTGCTGTGTCTTCTTCGTTCACATTTCCTAGCTGTTAACTGATATTGTATTGATAATCCCGATAACTGTAGCTTTACAAATCATCAAGTTCTATTCGAATATATTTGGTTTACCTTAGCTATAGCAGCTGGGGTGAAAGAATATATTTACCTTAACTATAGCAGCTGGGGTGAAAGAATATATTTACCTTAGCTATAGCAGCTGGGGTGAAAGAATATATTTACCTTAACTATAGCAGCTGGGGTGAAAGAATATATTTACCTTAGCTATAGCAGCTGGGGTGAAAGAATATATTTGGTTTACCTTAGCTATAGCAGCTGGGGTGAAAGAATATATTTACCTTAGCTATAGCAGCTGGGGTGAAAGAATATATTTACCTTAGCTATAGCAGCTGGGGTGAAAGAATATATTTGGTTTACCTTAGCTACAGCAGCTGGGGTGAGAGAATATATTTACCTTAGCTATAGCAGCTGGGGTGAAAGAATATATTTACCTTAGCTATAGCAGCTGGGGTGAAAGAATATATTTACCTTAGCTATAGCAGCTGGGGTGAAAGAATATATTTACCTTAGCTATAGCAGCTGGGGTGAAAGAATATATTTGATTTACCTTAGCTACAGCAGCTGGGGTGAGAGAATATATTTACCTTAGCTATAGCAGCTGGGGTGAAAGAATATATTTACCTTAGCTATAGCAGCTGGGGTGAGAGAATATATTTACCTTAGCTATAGCAGCTGGGGTGAAAGAATATATTTACCTTAGCTATAGCAGCTGGGGTGAAAGAATATATTTACCTTAGCTATAGCAGCTGGGGTGAAAGAATATATTTGATTTACCTTAGCTATAGCAGCTGGGGTGAGAGAATATATTTACCTTAGCTATAGCAGCTGGGGTGAAAGAATATATTTACCTTAGCTATAGCCGCGGGGGTGAAAGAATATATTTACCTTAGCTATAGCAGCTGGGGTGAAAGAATATATTTGATTTACCTTAGCTATAGCAGCTGGGGTGAAAGAATATATTTGATTTACCTTAGCTATAGCAGCTGGGGTGAAAGAATATATTTACCTTAGCTATAGCAGCTGGGGTGAAAGAATATATTTACCTTAACTATAGCAGCTGGGGTGAAAGAATATATTTACCTTAGCTATAGCAGCTGGGGTGAAAGAATATATTTGTTTTACCTTAGCTATAGCAGCTGGGGTGAAAGAATATATTTGATTTACCTTAGCTATAGCAGCTGGGGTGAAAGAATATATTTGATTTACCTTAGCTATAGCAGCTGGGGTGAAAGCCTCATCATCAATGTAAGGTTGGATTTTCTTGATGGCTTCATCTGGAATATTGTCTTTGTCGTACTGGAACAAGCTCTCTAGGAATTTGGTGGGGTCCTGTAGAAGAGCTCTTCCCACCTCCCAGTAGTCATCCACCTTCTGGCCTGGTTTGTCTCCTGCTACCTTCTTTGGCTTGATATTCTGGTAACATCACAGACGAAGAAATGCAGACAATGAGCAGCTTTACAGAAAAGGTACTTCAATAGCAAAGACTGTCATATGAATGTAAATGTTAGATCAGAAATAAAACTTGAACACTTTTGCATGGGAGCCGTTGCACTTTAAACCCCCCCCCCCCCCCCCCCCCCCCCCCAGCAAGATCTATACAAGGCTGAGGTGCCCCTCCATAGAACATTTATAGAAGCTAACAAGTCCGCCTAACCATGTACAAATGTTTTCTATTTAAATATTTCTGTATTAATTTCAAATTATTTCAGATATATTATTATATTTACTTGCCATTCAGCACATAATCGTAACGATTATTGTTATTATTATTATTATTATTACTGCAAGTAAAACAATGCTTATTCTCTCTAAACCCCCCCCCCCCCCCCCCCCCCATTATTTTTTTGTGATGCTACCCCTGTCATTTGCTAAATGTAACACTAAATTAAGAATAGGTCCCATTTGATCACACTGTGAAATATTGGGTTATGGTGGCAGCCAAACAAGTTTTATAGACCAATCAGCATCTGATGAGTGACGTGGTCAATGTACTCGCAACCATGTTTATTTACTTTCCATACATTTTTTCTGGTGCCCATTTTGGTCTGAATTGATTTGGAAGTCATGTTGATTTTTTTTTAAATGTTCCCCTCATTATCACAATGACCCTAATTACAACAATGATTTAACCATGATGGCATCAAAATCTGGCCAAGCTATAACAATGGGAACATTTGAGGGGAACTTAGGCTCAAGAAAACCAGGAAGTTTTAGACAGCTTGGCATCATGTCACGGAGAAACAACTGTCTCAGAAACGAGTGGACAATAGAATGTTTTTAACAAGAGGATCGACTTTGATGCACCAGGTTTGGTTGCATATGGCTCCATTTCTCTTGGCAGAACTGTTTGCTGCCTGCCAAGAACATCACTCAAAATATGAATACCTTAGCTTCGGCAACGATTCCTAGGGGTTGCCATTAAAAATTGCAGCCATGAACATAATTCTGAACAGAGGACCAACATCAAATGGGTGTGGATTATCAATAAGTTCTGAGTCAAACACATAAATATTGCTCACCTTCATAATACAGACAGCTTCAATGACCAGCCTGACACCATCTGGAGGTCTCTGCAGGGCTCTAACCTCAACAACATCATTCCTGTTCAAGGATTTCAAGCTAGCCAAAGCAGCATCCTGTCAATGAAATAACAAACGGACTCAAGAAATCAGGATTTTTTTCTTTAGTTTATTTGTTTGCTGCTGCTGCTGCTGCTGCTTCTTCTTCTTCTTCTTCTTCTTCTTCTTCTTCTTCTTCTTCTTCTTCTTCTTCTTCTTCCTCTTCTTCTTCTTCTTCCTCTTCTTCTTCTTCTTCCTCTTCTTCTTCCTCTTTCTCCTCTTCCTCCTCTTCTTCTTCCTCTTTCTCCTCTTCCTCCTCTTCTTCTTTTTCTTCTTCTTCTTCTTCTTCTTCTTCTTCTTTTGTTCGCCTGAAATAGATTATCTATATCTGCAATGTTGTCTCCAGTATGAACTTCCACAGTCTTTTGTAATTCACTCAGTGACCCGTAATGTTTGGATTATTATTATTGACTGTGAATATATATTTTTGACTTCTGAGTGTGATATATTCAGCTAAGTTGAGTTGACTTGTCCCTCTGTGAGTTCCTCGGCTCCATAAGTTGGGGGGGGGGGGGGGGGGGGGGGGGGGGGGGGGGGAAACAACTAATTAGCAGTGTTTCCTTGGAAGTCAGCGTGACAGGCCAGGAACCACCGGTCTGTAAAATGGATGTGCATGCAAAATTTAAGTTCTGGATCAAGAGTCTGGAAGTGGATGAGCAACCAGAACTTTTCACTGGCCTTCACAGGAGGTAAATGCCAAAAAAAAAAAAAAAAAAGCAGAGGTGAGTTAAGAACCAAAGTCACAGCACTCAGGACATCTGCTCAAGCTCTGTCCACATCTTCAGCAGCCAGGTCAGAGTTTCAGTTATGATGGTACTAGTAGCAGTGTTAAATGTCGGCCAGGTCACTGCTGACTTCCCCTGAGTGTTACGAGTGTTAAATGTCAGCCAGGTCA